TCTGATCCTTACTTCAGACTCAAGTTTAAGAGGAACAGAATTCAAGTGGTATGAGCTCGGGTGGTGCCTACCAATCCCTCCTGCCCCTGCCTACTGGTTCTGCCCTGAAAGTAGCTGTCATCAGTGTCCAAGGATATAGGGTCCCCTGTATGTTTACCCAGGCACTGTCCTAACTAGCTCTGTGGCAGTTAAGCATGAAGCCATACTCAGTTTGTTTCCTGTCAGCTGCCTGCCCTGCAGCAAGTGAGTAAGAGTCGAGTGCAGGCACCCATCTCAGTGTGTCCTTGTCCATCCCGTGTCTGTACCTGGCTTGTATGTCTCCTGTTATCCAACACCAGTGTAGGGACCTGAACCAGCCTACTGTGTCTAGGGACTATCTCTTGTTATTATGTATGGGGAAAATAATTTTGTCCCCATGGCCAGCAAGAGATGTGTGGTTACTCCTGTAAATTGAGTCCTTTGGCTGCCATGTGGCAAATGGGATCTGGAAGCTGTTGACTTCCAAAGGTTATGTTGGTAGCTTTGCAAGAGCCAGGCCTCTCACCCCAGGATCTATGGATTTCCATCTCGGGCCTGTGGCTTCATGGCTAGCAGAGTAGGAATGGCCCCTTGACATATGTCATAGTATGTCCCTGGCATTTATGCTTAGAGCTCCAAGCAGCCATGGTGTTGCTCTCAAGGGAAAAGATATTCTGAGTTAGAGATAAGTATGTGGTCTGCTTAGCCTCAGGAAGGTCTGGCTATGGCTTAGTACGCTTGGAATCTGAGGCTGGACATTGTTTAAGCAATTCCTATGTGGGACCTTGACCGCAACATAATTCAGCCCCCCACTTCTCAGCACACGAAGCTGCCTCCTGACTGCTGCCCCCTCCTCGTGTTTGTGAACCCAAAGAGCGGGGGCCTCAAAGGCCGAGAGCTGCTCTACAGTTTCCGGAAGCTACTGAATCCACACCAGGTCTTTGAGCTGACCAACGGGGGACCTCTTCCTGGGTGAGTCTGGAGTTTTCTGGCTTGTGGAAAGAGCAACCCCTACCTGTCTCTAGCTAGTAGGAACTCCAAATGGCACTGCTGGACTCATTAAATTCTCTGTGTGGCCAGAGATGGACATCTGAAAAGGAAAGGGCTGCCCAGGACAAGAATGAGTGGCCAGGTCCTGGCCTGGGCAGCCAGGAGGTAGTGGCAGAACACTGTCTCCCACACAGGTTCCACCTTTTCTCTCAAGTGCCCTGTTTTCGGGTACTGGTGTGTGGTGGAGATGGCACCGTGGGCTGGGTGCTCGCTGCCCTGGAGGAGACAAGGCGCCATCTGGCCTGCCCAGAGCCATCTGTGGCCATCCTGCCCCTGGGTACAGGTGGGCTTAGCCATCAACTTGAAAGATGGGATTTCAGGGCTGCCCCTACTATGGGTTTTGCTAGAGATTTATCGCGGTATGTGGATTATGCTGCCTTTCCTGTTTCCTAGGGAATGACCTTGGCCGGGTCCTCCGTTGGGGGGCAGGCTATAGTGGTGAGGACCCATTCTCTGTGCTGGTGTCTGTGGATGAGGCTGATGCTGTGCTCATGGATCGCTGGACAATCCTCCTGGATGCTCATGAGACCAATAGTACAGAGAACAGTGTGGTAGACACGGAGCTACCCAAGGTACCAGTGTCGTACCTGCTAGGATCTTACATTTGACTCCCCCTTTGCTGATGCTCATCTTTTCTCCTGAGGCAGACCAGGAGCTTGCTGACTCAAGCCTGTGGGGCTGTAGGGTTTTGCCTTCTCTGGGGATGTTGTGGCATTTAAGCAGAGGTTATTAGGAAAGGGCATTGGTGACAACAGTTAGGGATGGCTGTCACAATTTGGGACACTTGGGAGTGGCTGGCCAGCATCCTGGTTATTATGCCCTGTCTCCAGATTGTTCAGATGAGTAACTACTGTGGCATTGGTATCGATGCGGAGCTCAGCCTAGATTTCCACCAGGCACGTGAGGAGGAGCCTGGCAAATTCACAAGCAGGTACTAGTAGGGCAGGACTGGGGGACCAGGTCACTCACAGCAGCCAGCAACTTTTACCTGGTAATGCAGGGTGTTTGCCTCCCGTGGCAGGTTCCACAACAAGGGTGTATATGTGCGGGTCGGGCTGCAGAAGATTAGCCACTCTCGAAGTCTACACAGGGAGATCCGGCTGCAGGTGGAACAGCAGGAGGTGGAGCTACCCAGCATTGAGGGTCTCATCTTTATCAACATCCCCAGGTGCTGGGGCTGGGCTCTCAGAGACTGCAGTTTGGGCCAGGCGCTAGGTCTGTGTCTGGTCCATGCTTAACTTTGTATTTTTCATCTTTTGGGGGCAGCTGGGGCTCAGGGGCTGACCTCTGGGGCTCTGACAACGACTCAAGGTTTGAGAAGCCACGCATAGACGACGGGCTGTTGGAGGTGGTGGGTGTGACAGGTGTCGTGCACATGGTGAGCACTCACTGGCAGGCTGGTGGGCAGACCCTGTGGTACCCCTTGGGTCCCACTAGCTAGCTCAGCTTTTGTCTTGCCCAGGGCCAAGTCCAGGGTGGGCTGCGCTCTGGAATCCGCATTGCCCAGGGCTCCTACTTCCGTGTTACACTCCTAAAGGCTACTCCAGTACAAGTGGATGGGGAGCCCTGGGTTCAGGCCCCAGGGCACATGATCATCTCCGCTACAGCCCCGAAGGTATGTTGGCAAGGCTGAGAGCAGAGGTAAGATGGGTCAGGGTTAGGGCCACTGTAGGCTGATGCGGTACAGTAGCTAAGGCCAGGTGGGTCTAAGCTTTGGCCTTCCCAGACTCCAGGTGTCATGAGACCCTGGAGAAAGCAGCCAGCTCTTTGAAGTCATTGCCCCTCTTTTGTGGAATGGAGCCAAGAAGTATTCACTGGCCCAGAGGTCCCAGAGCTATCACTTGTAATGTTACTCTGGTCCTCTGACCCTCCATCCCTGCCTTGGAACAGGTCCACATGCTGAGGAAGGCCAAGCAGAAGCCCAGGAAGGCTGGCAACATCAGGGAAACCCGAGTGGACACCTTGCCTGCTCCTGAGAGCAATCCTTAATAGAGGAGCCAAGATGAAGGGTCTCAACTACCCAGCCTTTCTCGTCTTTGGTTCTGTTCCAAGTCACATATTGGCTGGCCAACAGGTGGACTTAGCTATACCACTGACCATAACATCTTCATGGGTCTTGGGATGTTACCATACCTCATCCTTATCCAATGTCATGTGCAAACCTAGGAGTGGGTAGGTATTGGCCACTGCCACAGTACTGGTCTATATGGCATGGGCATGAGGCTCTGGCTAGTCTGTCTTCTGCACACGACTGGTCCTTATAGGATCAGTGAAGCTGGTCCTGTTAGTCACACTTCTTCCTTTAAAACCTCTCTTAGAGCCTGTTGAGCCTCTGGATGCGGGCCATCCAGGTGGGCCCTCTGATCTTATTTTGTGTTCTTTCAAAGCAGCTAGTAGCCCTGTTAGGCCCTGGCCTAGTAGATACAGAATGCTGCTTGTTCCTCCTGCACCCACCGGGTGGGTGTGGTATCCTCAAGTCCTCTTGGCTCCCCCAGCTGGTGGCCCTGAGCTGAAAAGCTATACCTAGGAAGGGGAGGCTAGTCAAGTTCTGGTGTCACCCATGTGTCAGAGCTGGAGTGTGTGCCAGGGCCTGAGTGTCCCTCCTCGGCCCTCAAGTGGGCACCTAGTGCCAAGAAGGGATCAGAACAGGGCCAGGTGGAACCTGGCTGAGGAATGTGTAAATAACATCTGTTGTTGTGGAGTGGCTAAAGCTCCCTTAGACTCAACTTATAGCACTTTATACACATGCTGTTTGTCAGCCTGCAGCCCTTCCTTGTAGATGCAGAGCTGCTACTCTGGCTCCTACAAACCAAGGTAGCTCTGATGGCCAGACCTTGCTGGGGGCATCAGGCTCACAGAATGAGACAAAGCTGTCTCTTCCATGCACCCAAGAATTCAGTTGTCACACCTCGGACCCCAGAGGAGTGTACCCCAGAATGAGCTGTCTAGCTAAGCCTGGTGGTAAATGTCTGTAATTCATTTCTTGGGGACTAAAGCAAGAGAATAGCACGCTCAAGAACTGACTGGGCTGTAGAATTAAAACCCCTCCCAAAAAGTAAAAAGATGGGGGAAACAGGGGCCAAAGATGCCAGTGGGCCAGCCCCAGCCCTAGATGGGGAAGTAGCCTGTGATGCTTACCCCCATAGACAAGTAAGTAGGTCTAGATCCTGGGCGTGTACCACTCTCAGAAGTGGCTATGGTATGGACCTGGCTGGCAGCTTCATAGGCCCACTGTGCCATCCCCTCACCTGCTTTTGCCAAAAGTGCATACAAGTGCATCAGATAGCCATTTGTGTTCTCAGTACAGATGTTCCTCATGTTTACATCATTTTCCACGTCCGAAAGAAATTGTGATGTAGTTTTTCACTTTTATTTCAATCTATAGGAATTGTTTGTAAATTAAGGTCAGTGTAGCATGTCCTCTGTATTAGGTGAGGCTGTCACTTTGTGGAGTGTGTCCTGTCTCTGTGTGTAATTTATCACTACCTGAATGTGATCTAACTTATATCTGGGCCAAATACATTGTGGGCTTTGCTGTCCTGTAGTTGCCTCTTGTCTCTGTCTAACAACTGGTATGGGAATGGGCAGAGAAACTGTCAGTCCCCCCAGGGAAGCCCTGCACTTGTGAGGAGTAAGCCAGACAGCAACTTCACAGCCTGACTTAGCCCAGACTCAACTGCCTGAAGGTTCTGCGCATAAGGATGGCTTGTGTGGCCACATGCAGGACATAGCAAGTAAAAGGGATGGACCTCTGATCTTGGCTGGGTGCCACTGCCTCAAACAAGACCTCAGTGACAGCCTCAAGAGCTTATTCAGGTTAGGCAGAAGGTAACTTCCCATGGCAGTGTTGGGAAAGGGAGGAAAGTAAATGGGTAAAAGCAACAAAATTAGTTCCCATGAAACCCCTTACTGCAAAATGTGAACAATGTTCGTAATCTTGAAATAGATCTTGATATTTCACAATGTACACAAATACTCAAGCCAATAAAACCACAGCCCCAAGGTCACAGACTTCTACTGAGCCATCTTCATAGAACCCCTTACAGTACGCCTGGAATGGGCAGATGTAGCTTCCTTGGCATTAGCAGGGGGCAGGCAAGAGCTGAGACTGTGCCTCAGGTTCACCCTGGCCTGATTGAGGGTGCTCTGGCCGGAGGTTCCACAGGACTTGAAGGCCTGCCAGGGCAAGGCGCACAAGGAGACGGAGCAGTAGGAAGGCAAAGGGCACTGCAATCTGCATGAGGTGGAAGATGGCTGTGCTGAACCGGCTCAGCAGGCAGGTGGCAGCAAACGCCAACAGGCTGGCACAGGGGTACAGTGCAAGCTTGGCAAACATGAAAGCATGCTCCTGCCCACCAAATCGCACAGCTGGCTGCAGTGTTTCTGTCTGATGCAGCAGGGCTGCAGTCCAGATGGCAAACTGGAAGATACTGGCAAAGAAGATGATGGCGCAGCTGACCCGCACACGCTCAAGTTCATCATGGGGTTGTCGGGCAAAAGCTGAGGTCTGCTGGTAGGCCAGAGGGAGGCCACCCACAAAGGCCAGTGACAGTATGTTGAGTAACCCCATGGTCTGTGTAGCCTTCCGGACATGCAGGAAGAGTGAATGATGGGCAAACCAAAGCAGACCCACTGTGGCGAAGGAGCCAAAGTACGCCAGGAATTGTGGCCCATATGCACCCAGAGCAGTCACAAGGCTGCCACTGAATTTCTCTCGGACATCCTTGGGATCCGGAACGTTGTCCTCACTGGGAAGTATGAACAGATGGCATTTGTAATAGCCTCCCAAAAATGGCCGGACCCCCGGGATAGACAAGCAATATAAGTGAATTTGAGATTAATGACGTGATCTTTAGTACACAAATGTTCCCTATGTCTACTTATATTTAGCATACTAATCAGTTACCACTCTTCTTCACTCAAAAACGCAAATTTAACCAGTCCTGTATATTCTCTGCCAACTGGTGGCCCTATCTGACAGCCAGGAATTGACAGATAGTTCTGGTTCATTGGCCAGGGACAGCCTTCTGAGGGTAGGGTGCCTATAAAAGACAGCCTCCACAGCTATCCTGAACCTTGCAGCTTGTATTAAAGCATAGAGTCTAGCGATGGGAACCCATCACCTGGATGTGTACGACAGGACGCCCAAGTGCCCACTGCTTTCTCCAAATCAGCCAGAAGGAGGGACATGAGTGAGGGCAAAAGAGAAGAGCCTGAGGGCTGTCAAATGATGTAAGACTCCAGGCAGGAGATGGCAGCCTTCTATTGGCTTCAATTTCCTGCCCTAACGGCTTCTTAGCTGTGAGTCCTTCAGCCCTGGCAATGGAAGCAAAAGGAGATTGTTCTGGAATAGTCTTTAAATCTAAGACCTGAGGATATCAGGTACTAATGAATATTTACTTCTAGCTAATAAGAATTCACAAATTATAATAGGAAAACCTACTCAAAAGTATCAGGAGAATCATAGTGTCAGATGCAGAATCTAAAACCAGAGTTGTAACATGTTTAATAAAATAAGAATGCAATGGAATATGACTGAGGAACCATAGACTAGATGAGGTCAAGGGGCATAAAAAAAAAGGGGGGGTGGGATGTGAGAGACACTTGGGAATAAGAGTGAACACCCAAACCAGAGCTCCAACAGTACTGTATCAGAGCCAGGTCAGACAGAAGCCGTAGAGGTATGGAAGAGGAGAAGGTCTGAGGGAGCTGCCTGAATACTCCTGGGACAGAGAGCACAAGGTCACTCTCCCTAGCACCTGTGCTTTCAGGTTGAGGGGGAAGAGGGCGCCTACATAAATCTGCAGGTACTCACAAGACACTGAAAGACATACTACCACCTGGAAGATGGGCCAAAGTAGCAGAGTTGGGGTCCTCACCAGATGTCCAGGATGAGGAGTGTGGCCACAATGGCATAGACACCGTCACTGAAAGCTTCCACCCGCTCTTTGCTGAGAGGTGCGTGCAGATCAATACTGAAGGGCTCCACATTGTGAGCTGGAGACTCCCTGTGGCCTGTGACATGCCAAGGGAAGGAAACAGCCTAGGTGGGGGACTGTCAGACCAGTGTGGCTATCACTGCCCTCTTCTCCAAGGGGACAGGAATAAACAGGTCAGGAGGTGAAATGATGCAGAGATTTGAAGGGGCAAGAAGCAGCCAGGGCCCAGCAAACCCGCCACCAGACCAAGGCTCAGGCCAGAAGGGCCGTCACATACTGATGTCTCTTATTCCCAATTAGAAAGTTCTCCCAATCAGAGAACTTTCCAACATGCAGTTTACTGTGCACGGTCACCTACCCGTGAGCTTGTCTTTGCACCAGGTGGTAGCCTTGCTGATATGAGGGAGGAAGATGACAGTCACCATCAGCACATATGACTACAGAAAGAAAGAAAACAGGTCAGGGTGTTTCCCTGGGAATCTCAACTGCTCACACCTGAAGTCTGGTCCCATTCTTCTGCCACAGATGGAGGGACAGCAGGAGCAACAAAGGAAAATCCAGAGAACTGTCCTTTATGGAAACGAACTGTGTATAAAGGCTTAATCCCAAAAGGAAGAGCTACCTTCCTTTTGCATACCAGTCCTGTGCTTTCTGAGAATTTAGTATCCAGAATACATAAAGAATGGAAACAGCGCAACAACAGAAGGTATGCATTCCAACTAAGAAGTTAAAGGGGCGGGGCTGGAGAGATGGCTCAGTGGTCAAGAGCATTGCCTGCTCTTCCAAAGGTCCTGAGTTCAATTCCCAGCAACCACATGGTGGCTCACAACCACCTGTAAACCTCTTCTGGCCTTCAGGCATACAGACAGAATATTGTATACATAATAAATAAATATTTAAAAAAAAAAAAAAGAAGTTAAAGGGGATGGGCTTGAAAAGACACTTTACCTGTGACCTCTCCAGTCAAGGGCTGCTTGGCTAGATGCTTCCTATATACGGTTCTGTTGTAGTTTAAAAGTCTCTGGGCTCCCTGGCTCCTACCCACTCAGCTGGAACCTTATCCCCTCACAAGAAGATGACCTGTCAAGGTCTTGAAATGCTTACCAAAATTCATTAATTTTTACTTATTTAATTTTAACTACATTTAATTATTATTTTTTGTTTGTATGCATGTGTGAGGATGCTCGTGCCTATTACCAAACATTTAAAAATAACCAGTATTTGCTTTTTCCACAATTCTTAGGATACTTTGGTTTAAAATTCAATGTACTTTCATAGTACTTAAGTGGACCCTGTTCAAGACAGCTTCTACAGCATGGCCTGTGCTAAGTCTTCCTCTGAGATTCTCAGTGCTCACCAAAGGGAAGAAGAAGAGAGAAAAGATGGCTGCAACAAAACACAGAGCTGGGCCACGGAGGACTAGGCGCAGGATGTGCCGTCGGGACTGGGCCCTGTGTGCAGAGTGCTGGATCTGTGGACTCAGCAGGTGTGGGAAGTGGAAAGCATACCCCACAATCAGTGCCTGTAGTCAAAACAAAACAAACAAAACAGGCTAGAGGGCACCATCAGCAGGTAGAGAAGTACTAGTTAACCCCTGGGCCAACACATTTTTAGGGGTTAGAAGCAAGAAGGTCTCTCCTTGATGGCCTCCTACCCTGGGAAGTTCTGAGAGGTTGGGATCAAGAAGGTAGAAATTTTCATCCTATTCTGAGACTGTGAGGCCCTGGGTATGCCACATCCCAGGTGCAATTATGGAGAAGACCCCTACTTGAGATGTAGATCAGGATGTTAGCACCTGACCTGCACACCCCATGGCAAACACACATCATATCCCATGTCCCTACCTGCACAGATCCAATGGCAATCACACACATGCAGAACAGGAAGATGCCCAGGGGCACATCAGGAAACGTCACCATTAGAGAAAACTGTCAAAAGAACCCCCACAAACCCCCAAAAGGCTATCAGAGCTAGGTTGCCCTGAGAAGAAAACTGTCCTAGTGTGAGGACGAGGGTATGGGGCTGGGCATGGGTATATTCAGCTCTGCAAACCACTGTTTCAGGCCTTTAAAGCCAGTATCACTAACCTCATGTAAAATCCTTCAGGTCTGAATTATCTGTTATAGTTTTGTATAGCTATAATGCCTATATTAGAATTTTAAATGCTTGTGGCGATGATGGAGAGAGGCAGGTGGGAGGAAGGGGCATTAGGGACATTCTCAGTGGCCTCTGCCTTTAGGAGTCCTAAATTCCTTCCTCTTTATTCAGCCCCAACCACTAGTTCCCTGGAACTCTCTTTGTAATTTGTACTCCAGGACTTGAACCTGCACTCCCCCCCCCCCCTTTTGGTTTTTTGAGACTGGGTTTCTCTGTAGCTTTGAGGCCTGTCCCGAAACTAGCTCTTGTAGACCAGGCTGGCCTCAAACTCAAAGAGATCCACCTGCCTCTGCCTCCCGAGTGCTGGGGTTAAAAGCATGTGCTACCACCTGGCTTGAACCTGCCACTTCTAAGGACTGCCACACACAGATGTGCTCAGTGAGGCGTGCAGGGAGATCTTTTTACTCACTGTGTAGGGTAGAAGGGTGATGGTCATCATGCAGGCCTGTAGTGAAAGGAAAGGAGGGAGGTCACAGTCACCAGAAAGCCTAGAGAGTAAGGGACACTCCAGGAAGGCAGCAATATATCTACAGGAATTGTGGCACTGGATCCAAGAAGCCTGTGCCCCTGTCCTGGACAGACTGACCCCACGAGCTATCTGAGGAACTTCCAGGAATGGACAGAATCCAGGTTGTGGGGACCCCCATACCTTTCCTATCTTTCAAGAGGGCTAAATCATACCTTAAACTCATTTTTCAAAACAACAATAACTCACCAGGTTAAGCAAGGCAAGTGTATCATCTATTTTCCCAACAACCTGGAACAATCTAAAGTTAGAAAAAAGAGAAGATGGGCCATCATTCAAATATGGCTCCGATAATATTAAAATTAAAATGCACCTCCCACAGTATTTTCTAGCTAAGGCATCACTAAAGATGTCACTTTTGATCAAATTTAAGATACTACCTAGTGGGACTAATGAGAAGACTAGGTTGCTATTTAGGTTGCTATTAATCCTGAGAACCTGAGTTTGATCCCTGGACTCACATGGCAGGAGGAGAGAACCAAATCCTACAAGCTATCCTCTGATTTTGGCACACACATAAAATAAAATTTAACTTTTTTTTTTTTTTTTTTTTGGTTTTTCAAGACAGGGTGTCTTTGTGGCTTTGGAGCCTGTCCTGGAACTAGCTCTTGTAGTCCAGGCTGGCCTGGAACTCACAGAGATCTGCTTGCTTCTGCCTCCCAAGTGCTGGGATTAAAGGCGTGCGCCACCACCACCGGGCTAAAATTTAACTTTTAAAAAATGTAAATACTACCTAGTGTGTGAAAGTCAGAAAATTCAAAGAAAACATAGCTTATGCAGGGAAGCATGTATCTTTTCCATAAATTCTTCCCATTATTTTGCAGGAATAGCTTATAGAAATCACCTGTACAGTTTGTAGCTCTTAGAAACAGTCTTTTCGGAGAAAGTCCTGAAGAAGACTTCTGCACAAACATAGGGGACTTTTAACTCTCCGGAGAGGTCCTGCTAAGGGCAGGACTAGCAGGGCAGCTGTGAGCTGCCTGTCCAGCCACACTTACTGGGAATCAGGCTCTGGGGATGTGAAGCTAGAGCTCTATTGTGCAGTACACTTGTGTTTTTATTCATTATATCTAAAATCCATTTCTTTCTCAATTTCCCCTCAAAGATTTCATACACTGCACCTGCTGGAAGTTGGTATTTAACAGAGAAATGGTTTTATATGGAGATACTACAACGTAAATAGAAGCACAGACTGCCAGGAATCATGAAGCTTCCTCCAATGCCTGGGCCCTACAATAGGATTGCTCCCAATAGTCTGACTGTGGCTAAAGATGCCACCCTTCCAAGTCTGAGCACGTCCTTCTCTGGACTGGACTCAGCTGAGCTGTCACTCTCGCTCTAGGAGCTGCCTCCAGCTCACGGCAGTGGCACAGGCTCATTTGGGCTCAAGTCGCTGCAGTCCCAGAGATGGCCATTCTGCTGCCTACTTGCTGGTACTAAGACCATGCGTGTAAGTGAGTACCCAAAGCAGGATGCAGACTAGAGCCATGAAGTTCCTCACTGGCTCCCTGGGCCTCAGAACCCTGCTGTTGATGTTTTTCACAATGGGTGTGGCCCCTAATGAATGAATCATGATGCAGGTATAGGGAAGGTTGGCTAAAGTCACCCACCAGGCTGTGAGCCTCCTGGACATTCTATAAACAAGGGAGATGAAAAAGATAAAGCCTGCCCAATTCTTCCAACAGGAAGGGATCTGTCAGCATCATCTTGCCAAGGACAAGTATATAACATGAAGCATTTTTCTGTACTTTTCAATGTACTTTTAAAGAGCAGTGAGCTGGATGCATGCCTTTAATCCCAGCATTTAGGAGGCAGAGGCAGGCTGGTCTACTACATAGTTTCTTTCTCTCTCCTCCGTCTGTCTCTGTCTCTTTCACACACACACACACACACACACACACACACACACACACACACACACACAGCGGTGAAATATTTACTAGGATCTGGATTTTTCTGCACACTAAGCATTCTCTGAAGAGTATTTCCTTTGAACATGCTGATCTACAGCCAGGAATGCAACATCTACATGCCCAGCTCTGCCTAAGGAAGCTTCCTGTTCCTCCTTTGCCTACCCTGAGTAACTCATGACAATGAGGACCTTGTATATAGGTCTGACTCCCTACCTGGTATGTGCTGCCCACGCCACAGTTACAATTAGAAATGTCATCAGGTAGACAGCAATCCTAGTTGCTAGAAGTTTCTGTATACTTTTGTCAAATCGCTGTATGAAAAAGAACACTGCTATTAGAACAAAGTAACATATGTGACCCAACAGTGGTCATTTCAACAAGACCTCCATTAATGCAGAGTGAGACATTTAGGAAGGTCCCCAGCCTCATAGTGCACACAGTCTACGTCTGCTCCCAGTCTACGCTCACATCTGCCACACTTATCCCATACCCACCCTCAAACGTGTCTTTTACAGGCAGTTCTAAGGCAAGAGATTCCTGGATGTCACAGTCTGATACCATCACCTCAAGTGGAAAAGAGTCCTGGCTGTCAGCAGGCTTCTTATCAGGGAGTCCAAGCACCTCAACAGTAAGGGATACAAGGGACAAAAGGCATCCAGTCCTTTTATAAGGTAATTAGTTGCCTTCTAAAGTGTTCACTTTGGGGTTTAAGTTCCAACATGTGGATTCTGGAGACATACATGTCTAAGCTATAGCAAGGTCTACCTAGCATAGTCACGGGCAGGACACCTTTAAAAGTCCCCAATGAGATTACAAGCAGAATGGGTCTGCTATAGATACCACTCAAGGGGTTGTGGCTTGAACAGAGACCACTGTACTGAAAAGAAACCTCAATTTTCAAAGGCGAGAACACTTACCTCAGAAATCATGAGAAGGAAGCTTTATATTTTTAAACATACTCAAATCAATTTGTTTATTGGCTTCGTTAGTTCTTCTTGTGCAAGTATCGCTTTGGATCATGACTTGAAATTTCATTTCAGAATCATCCTATCAAATGCTCTCACAAACATCCGTTTGTATGTTTTTGTCTCCTGTGTTCCACCACTGAGCTGTACCCTCAAGTATCTTTCCACATTTGGGTTGCTTTTGTTTGTTTGTTTGTTGAGACTGGGTTTCTCTGTGTTAACAGTCCTGGCTGTCCTGAAACTCTTTGTACACCAAGTTGGTCTCCAACTCAAAGAGATTCACCTGCCTCTGTGAGTGCTAGGATTAAAGGTGTGCCCAGCTTTTTGTTTGTATTTGAGGCAGAGTCTCTTTCTATAGCCCTGGCTGTTCTGGAACTCACTAGGGAGACCAGACTGACCTTGAATTCACAGAAATCCACCTGTCTCCGCAGCCTCCCAAGTGCTAGGGATTAAAGGTGCACACTCCCACACCTGGCCTCTTACTTTTTATTCTGAGACAGGGTCTAAGTTGCCTACGCTGGCATTGAACTTGGAAACCTTTTTGTCTCAACCTCCAGAGCAGATATTGATCATAGGCAATTTGCTACCAGGCCTATAAGTTAAGTCTTCTTTTAAAAAAATTGGGCAGAAGCCAGGCATAGTGCCACATACCTTTAATTTTAGCACTCAGGGTGCAGAGGCAGGCGGATCTTCTCTGTAAGTTTGAGGTCAGCCTGGTCTGCAAAGCAAGTTCCAATACAGCCAGAACCGTCACACAGAGACAATTTGTCAAAAAAAAAAAAAACTATCAAACCAAAAGAAAAGTCACATAAGTATCTTTGGATCTCTACACACATGCTGTGGGATATGTGTGCCTGCACTATCCCATGCACATTATACTCTCGCAGTAATACATTTTCAGGTGAGGGTGGTGCAGCCTTTAATCCCTGTACTCAGAGGCAAAAGCAGATGGATCTCTAGGAGTTTGAGGCCAGCCTGGTCTACAGAGCAAGTTTCAGGACAGCCAAGGCTACACAGAGAAACCGTCTCAAAAAACAGTAACAAAAAACAAATGAAATTTTAAAATTTCAGTATCAGGAATTAAAACTACCGCCTCATTCATGCAGGCTAGGCAAACACTCTACCACTAAGCTGTATCTGTCACTATGCTTTTTAATTTTATTTAGGGTTTTTGGAGACGGGTTCTCACTGTGTGTCCTGACTGGCCTGGAGCTGGCTATGTAGACCACCCACTAGCAGGCATTTTCTCAGAACAGCGTTAAGCACAGTCCAAGTGCGGTCTGATGCTACACTAGTGTTGTAACCACAGTTCAAAAGAAAAACCTCAGTAGTTCTGGGCCCTCCCCAAAGATCTAGCTCAGCTTGCAGGTATAGCTAGAATCACACCTCATTGTTGTGGGACAGTGAGGTAGTGCTGCAACCTGCCTCTTGAGGCTTGTATGGTGCCATGCCAGTCACAAGGATGAAACCAAGGAAGACACCTCAGTGCTATCCAAGTCTCAAAGTTCACTGAAGAGCTGCATGTTGTTGACTCCGGAAAAAAAATTAAAATCCCATAAAGTTGGCTATAAATGGAAATGCTTTTTAAAATGCTCTTTGCTACCCCCACAGGCTAGTTTGGTGGGGCAGACATGTTATAACTAACTGTCCACCTGGTTAGAAGTCTCCTCTACAGGAAGGAGCCTGTGCTTAAGCCCTAACTCTAAGTACGTATCCTCCCAGGAAGAAACACAGGTGTCCTGCCCTCTCAATAAATACCCTGCCTTGGGCTCTGCTGCCTGCAGATTGGGGGGTTGGCTCCCCAAGTCCAGGTTGGGTTTTCTTACTGGCCCACTGTACAAACCAGTCTGCTCCTGTTACCTGTTCTGGTGAGATCTCTGTGTGGGTCACAGGCAGGATCTAAAGGAACAAAGACAAAAGAGATGCTTCTTGGGCTGTGGGTACTCACAGGCAGAGGTTTGTGAGCTCTTTGCTATTGCTGAGCAGCCCCAACTTCATGAAAGGCGTGGGTATCTGAGGCTGCTGCAGGAACCAGGGGTGGATTTGAGGTGGGCCCAGCACTGACCATGACAGTGGCAATGATGGAGAGCAGTGCATCACTGAAGCCCAGCATGCGGTGGGAGCTCTGGGGCCCCTCCTCGTCTCTCCTGTGTAGGGATGAGTCTCCCTCGAAATCCACTGCCTGCTCCTGGGTCTGAGGCCTGGACATGGTGGGGCCACCGAGTTGTCACAGCAGCCTGGGAAGAAGTGTAGCTCTCTCTTATCAGTGGGATGTCCCAGGTGGCCAACCCTGCGGACTAGGTATTGAGACAAAGAAAGAGACACTTCACAAGGTAGCCCCTTCAGATTCCCAGCCACAGGCAAAGAGTATCAGCATCAGACTCATCAGTGAGCTCTGTGACTGGGATGATACACTGCCTGTCTCTGAAAGCACTGATGATACAGGGTAGATGCTCAGCAAACTATGGGACTACGGAAGGCCTGAAATCTGACCCCAAGTTTCCACTACAAGCCGCTTTGTCAGGCTTCAGCACATCTTCTGGCTAAAGATAATGTCCCTGAGGGCGGTTATGGCCTTAGCTCACAAGCTATGGGATGTTTTTAAGCTGTTCAGAAACAATACCAGCTGAAATGTTCTCTAAGAAAGAGAGGTATTTGTGCTCCAGGAGCAAAGGGCTAATGTACAGACTTGGAATCCATCTGTATCCACACCAGACCCAGTGATAGAAACTCTGAGAACCACTCAGCAGTTATAGGATATGGAAGAGTGGGTCACTGGGAAGTATTTTCCAAGTCCCCACTTGCAATCATGGGAGAGAGAATAGGAGTGTGGCAAGGTTGGTCAGAACGATGAAGCTGTGACCAGGAGTAAGGTGGAATATGTCTGCCCAAGCAGGGTACAGAAGTGTTTCTGGGAGAGCAGGTTCTGAGACAATAAGAGGAAAGTTAATTGGATCTAGAAGGGCAAGCCCACTAGCCCAACAACATAAATGTACCCTGCTTTGGGCACATTTACTAAGACATAGGAAGGCCAGCCTCAGGCGGCAGAGTTAGGGGAGAAGAGGCTGAAAGGTAGTGGTACTCCCTGGGAGGATGGGGAAGTAGGAGCCCAGATACTTGAAGGGTGGTCACAAGCCCAAGCCCTTTAGTACTGAAACAAGTTAACATAAAGTACAACTGGGTTTACTCTGAAGAGGATGCTGTTGATCTAACATCAGGCACTACAAAAATCAGAGGCAAGGGGGTGATGTGGCATGCTGCTCCAGCAATCAAGCACAAGCCTTTACAAGACGATACAGAAAACACAAAGGGATAACAAAGACAACTATCAATTTTCAGATAGGAAAGAAGCAAGATGCAAACAAGTATATATAAGGCATTCATGCTGAGTACCGCTCAGTGGGAGATAGCCTACCTTACATGTATGATGTCCTGGGTTCTGTCCCCAGCACTGCAAAAGAAAGAAAACAAAATTCAACTTTACTAGTAATCAAGGAAACACAACTGAAAGCAATGTGGTACCGATTAGAATAGTAAAGACACTTAGTCAAGAGCTAGCTAGGATATGAGGAGGACACTTGGCTATGTTAGGGAGAAACAGGGGCCATATCTGAACTGGCAGTTAGTAACAACTCTAAAAGTGCAAACAACACCCTTACAGGGAAACAGCTGAATCTGAGGGGACACAACTGGAGTCTGCACTGAAGCAAGGTTCGTTTCAACAAGAAAAGGAAAAAAATGACTTATTATTAAGCCATCAGTGTTGTGAGGACCCTACACATGAATCCAGAGGTAAAATTCAAACACAATACTAAGAAGGAAAAAAAAAACCAGTTACCAAAAGACAAGTTCTGTCATCTTCCTTGTTCATGATAAATGGCAATATGTAAGACAAAAACACAGACAGAAACAGATTTGTTAGCTCCAGGATAAGCAGGTGGTGCCTGGATGGCAAAGGCAGGCATGAGTACCAACATGGTTTTTTGTTGTATCCCTGGTTTACGGTCACTTAAGGCTCACTCTTTGGATCGGTGGTTCTCAACCTTTCTAATGCTGTGACCCTTTAATATAGTTCCTCATATTATGGTGACCCTCTGACCATAAAATTATTTGCATTGCTATTTCATAACTATAATTTTGCTATTATTATGAATAGTAATGTAAATATGTGTTTTCTGATGGTCTTAGGTGACCCCTGCAAAAGGATTGTTCAACAACCACCAAGGGGTCACAATCCACAGGCTGAGAATCACTGCTTTAGATTATGCAGTCAAAACCATGCCTTTGCTGTGCAGGTCTCTTGAGCTGCTGAGGAATACACACAGTTGTGTTACCCCAACCACAAAGACTGAAAGAGGACTGGAGAGAAAGCACTAGCTATTCTTTCAGAGGACCATGGCTCATAACCCAGCACCCACATGGCAGTTCACAACCATCTGTAACCCTGCAAGCATATGGCACACAGACATACATTCAGGCAAAACATCCATACTCATAAAATAAAGACTGAAGGGTGCTCCATCCTCAGATAGCCCTTCTAAGCTTTCCATGCCTAGACCTTAGACTTGGCTGATGTTGATGATAGACACTGGTGTTTCTGCTATTACTGATACTTTGCCATTTCCAGAATGCCTTGTTCATGAGGCACACACTAAGGGACCTTTTTAGTATGGCTTCTGCTACCTGAGACTCACCATGTTCCCGAGAACGTCACAACACACGTCTTTTTACTGCTGTCATGCTTTCACTGTGAACTATCAGCTTATCCACTGACAGGCACAGAGACATAAAGTTCAGAAATAAATTCAAACACCTAAGGTTAACTGATTTTTTATTCTCGACAAGGGAGCAGAGATTATTTAATAGGGAAAAGAATGTTCTTTTCAACGAATAGTATAGGGACAACTGAGTGTCCATATGCCAAAGAACCCCAACAAATTAATTTAAACGGAGCAAAGATTTGAATTTAACAGACAAAACCATGAAACTTTTAGAAGAAAGTTTTGGGGAAATTGCTGCAGGCAAAGATTTCTAAAGACAGCATTAAAAAGCATAAGCAACAATATTAGCATGGTGGCCTACACCTTTGGTCCCATGGGAGGCAACATACAGGCAAGTAGAGGCCAGCTTGTTTTATATAGTGAGTTTCAGGATAGCCTGGGCTATGTAGAGGGACCCTATTTTTAAAAAGTAAAATAAATAAATAAATAGCAAATTAAAAAATGCTAAAGTTGAGCTTCATCAACATTAATACCTTTTGTGACTCAAAAGAGTAAGATTAAGAAAATAAAAGGCAATCTATAAAATATGAAACATTATTTGTAAGTCTTATCTGATAAGTATCTAGCAACTAAAGAATATAAAGACTCTTTATAACCCAATAATAGGAGCAGCTAGACAGGTTCAGTTGAGGAACAACCTGGTATTGGCGTAAGAACAGACAGGAGGATCAATAGAACCGAATAGAAGACCTGGATATCAATCCACACATCTTCAAACACCTGATCTTTAATAAAGAAGCAAAAAATATCAAACGGAAAAAAGCATAGGACCAAACTAGTCCCTCAGAGTGTGGGTGACAGTTGCATGGCTGGGGCAGACTGAGGCGCACCGGCAGGGCACCAGGATTTATCCCTACTGCATGTACTGGCTTTTTGGGAAGCCAGCTTTTTGGATGGATACCTTTGCTCAGCCTAGATATAGTAGGGAGGGCCTTGAACCTTCCAAAAATCAATGTGCCTTACCCTTTCTGAAGATTGGATGGGGGTAAGATGGGAGAGTGTGTGGAGAAAATGGGAGGAGGGAAGGGAGTAGAAAATTGGATTGGTATTTTTTTTAATCTAATACATTTTTTTAAAATATTTATTTATTTATTTATTATGTATACAATATTCTGTCTGTATGTACGCCTGCAGGCCGGAAGAGGGCACCAGACCTCTTTACAGATGGTTGTGAGCCACCATGTGGTTGCCAGGAATTGAACTCAGGACCTTTGGAAGAGCAGGCAATGCTGTTAACCACTGAGCCATCTCTCCAGCGAGCTGTAGAAATACTTCAATTTTCTGTATAAGTTCATGTAGATTTTTAAAATCATTTTTCTAAATGTTTAGTGGATTTTCAGTAGAGCCATGTAAGTCTGAAATCTTTAAGAGATTTTAATTTAGAAGTTGACTGTTTTTTAATAGGTATAGAATTATTTGCCTATTTCTTTTTGAGTAAGTTAAGTTTGTGCTTTCAATGAATCCATTTATTTAGACTAAGTTGAATTCATTGGGAAAATGTTCATAATATAATAGCTTTTGTTACCCTTTCAGTACACATTTCCTTCATCTGTGATGATCTCAGATATTTCTGGTTTTCTAACTTAATTTGCCCAGTGACTTCTAAGTTTTATTGACCTTAAAGAATCAGGTCTTGTTGCTCATTTCACTGCATTTTGGTATTTATCTCCCTCCTTCTAATTACTTTGGGTTTCATTTTCTCTGATTTTTCTAGTTTCCTTCCTTCCTTCCTTCCTTCCTTCCTTCCTTCCTTCCTTCCTTCCTTCTTTCTTTCTTTCTTTCTTTCTTTCTTTCTTTCTTTCTGAGACAGGGTTTCTCTGTAGTTTTGGAGCCTGTCCTGGAACTCACTCTGTAGACCAGGCTGGCCTCGAATTCACAGAGATCGGCCTACCTCTGCCTGCCAAGTGCTGGGATTAAAGGCATGCACCACCACCACCTCATTTTTTTCTAGTTTCTTAAGATGAACACTAAAGTCACTGATATGTGATCTATTTCCTACTAATGACTTAATAGTATCCCACAATTTTGAAATTCTTTATTTTCATTTTCAACTAGTTCAAAAATACTACTTTTGATTGATTGACACATAAAAGTAAGCTATCCACTTTCCAAATATTCAGAACATTTTTCACATAGTTAATTTCTAGATAACTTAATTCACTGTGGTCAGAGAACATACTTGTTTCATTGCCCAGGTATTCGAGGTTAGTAAATGCTCTTTACACACTGAGATTTAAAGAGGGCAATGGATCCCCTAGACCTGGAGTTACAAATGGTTGTGAACCACCATGTAGGTGGTGAGAATTGAACCTTTGCACTCTGCAAGCGTAAGTAATCTATATCACCAAGCCACTCTCAAACCCCCTGAAACATCCTTTTGATGACTTCATTTCTTCATCAGTATAAAATAATTCTCTTACTCTTTGGCAATAACCTTTACTACGAAATCTGCTACAAGACAAAGTGTTGGTGGAGAAAGAGTTTTAGATTTGTATGCGTTCATACATGAAGTGAGATCAGGAGAGAAGCCCATAAGATGCAGTATGTTAACATGCTCTCAGTATGGCATCTACCACAAAGCCATATAGGTATATTTATGAAATAATTAGTCTGAGAAGACTCTGGTTTCTAAAGTATTTACATGACTTCCACTTGTCCTAGGTCATACTAGCAAGAGTTTACAGCCTTGAATTCCATTATCCATTCCAGCAAATTATTTATGAGGTTTCTTACAATGGCTGTTTTAGGTCTCCTGAACACTGTTTAAGCCTTGGGTTTCCATTTTTTTTTCTCACTTTCAGATTTCGTTTCCTTCTATTTAGTGAAATCTGAATCCACCAAGATTCCTTCAACTTCATTTCAATAAATGCATAAAGTTACCTGCAACTGCAAGCCCTATTTCCTCCTTTCCCCCTCTTGTGGTTGTGTTTTTGAGACAGGGTTTCTCTGTAGCTTTTGGAGTCTGTCCTGGAATTAGCTCTTGTAGACCAGGGGGGCCTCGAACTCAGAGAGAGATCCACCTGCCTCTGCCTCCCGAGTGCTGGGAAAGGTGTGCACCACTGCCCGACTTGTGTTTTTCTTATAGAAAAGTCTTTTCTATGCCAAAACTAAATATCCCATATCTGGATGTGACTTGGTTGTCTTACTATTCTAAGGGACAGTACCCTTCTCGGCCGTACTAGGAAGGCTTAATTCCCATTGGCTTGGGCTGTTCATGTCTCCCATCTAAGAACAATGTCAACACCACACTGCCCTCTCAGCTCCCACACTGTTCTCCACAAACCTCCTCAGTAACCTCCAGATACCATCTCTACTCCATCAGCTCTTTATGCCTCCACGTGTGAGCTTCCTCACCTACCACCTACCTCACTGTGGCTAACGATCATCTTTCTTTTCAGCTTGACTTTTAAGAGAGCACTAGTTTAATATTTAATAGCTACAGTCCTGGGAAGGCTAAGATGTTGATTTGAGCCTGAGGGCCAACTTTTTAGTTCCAAAACACATCATCTACACAGGGGCTGCAACTTCACGTGGCTTCAGAAACCAGAGGTAAGGGGAATCTCACGAGTCTCACCTGAAGTGAACAGCTTTAGATGGTTGACATCACACAGGATTCTGGGTCCAGTACCGCCAGGTGAGTTTTCTACGCACGTTGTGAAGCCTTTTTTCTTTTAAACTTATCGTTTTTCAGTCTTAAGGCTAGCAACTAGTTCGTCCTCCCCCAAACCTGTGTGGGCCAAAACATAAGAATGTTTGTCTGTGGATTATAGGCTGGCTGCTTGTCTGATAGACATGTCCTCTCCTCAACCGGGCATTAAGGGACCCTAGGATAAGCTCCAGGCCTCCCTTCTACCTTGAGGAGTCAGGCTCTGGGACGGTCCGCAGCACGCGCCCAACGTCCCGTGACGCCCCAGCCACCGAGGCTGGACCCGGCAAAAGCGGTCGTAACTCCGGCCAGCGGAAGCAACGGGGCGAGGTTAGGGCCAGAAGGCATCCGCCCCTCTCCGCTCCTCTCCGGAGCCTGACACCCGCGGGACTGCAGCTTCTGCGCCTGCGCGTCCTGCAAGCTCTGCGGGTCCACGCGCCCCTCCGCCTGCTGCGTCGGGGCGGGGCCGCGGCGTAGCGACGCAACCTGCTCTCGGTTTACGTCACGGCGCGGGCGGAAGATGGCCGGGTTGTTCTCTAGCAGCTGCTGACCCGGCAGTGCGGAGCCGGAGCCTGGCTCCCGCTGCCACTGAGTGGCCGCCGCCATGTCACTGCTGCAGTCTGCTCTGGACTTCCTGGCAGGTCCTGGTTCTCTTGGTGGAGCTGCCGGCCGTGACCAAAGTGACTTCGTGGGGCAGACTGTGGAACTGGGCGAGCTACGTCTGCGGGTGCGGCGGGTCCTAGCCGAAGGTGAGATGTAAGGCGTCTCCAGGCCGCGGAAGGCTGGAGCAGCCAGGGAGGGTCGCTGCTGGGGTGTGGTTCAAGTCAGGGCGCGCGAGGGTCCCCACTGTGGGCAGGGGCAGCTAGAAGGATCGTGTCCAGGGTATGAATCAAGTCTGGGTCCGGGAGAATCACTAATACAGTGTGGGTCAGCTCAGGGCCGCGGAGAGTCCTCTCTGTGGGCAGAGTCAGTGGGAATAGTCACTGTTGGGATGTGGACCAGGTCATCACTGTGGAGAGACTGGGGTGTGAATCAGGTCGGGGTGGGGCCTGGCAGGGAAGGGTGACCACTGGGGCCTCTGTTAGGGCCTTTGGAGGTGATTGCTAAGGGTAGGCTGCGTCTGGGTTAAACACTTCCTGGAGGGCAGAGTTCGTACAAGGGTCATGCTAGCAGGTGGTTGTCCGGTAAAGGAGGCCTGGGACTGGAGGGACCACCTCTGTCTGGGGCCAAGGCTGTGACTGGGACTGAAAAAAAAAAAGTTTAAAAAGGTTGAAAGGTGGAGTTAGGAGTTGAGCCCAGTCACTTTGGGGTCATAAGTTAATTATTCTTTGTATTATATCCAGGGTTGCTTTTGCATCAAGGAGACTGGGGATCTCTACAGTCCATAGCAATCGCCCCTGCTCGGTGAGGGAGAGGATAGATAGGGCTTTGTAGTCTCATTTTCTCTTATAGCCTTAGTGTTTGCCTCACCTCTTGACGTCTTATAAGTTACAGGAAGCAAAGCCAGTAGGTGTAACCTTTAAAAACTGTGCTTGGTAGACAGTGCCATAGTCATGTGTCTTGAAGTCAGTCTAGTTTGTAGCTTCCTGAACATCCTCTCTGTTCTTCACACAGGATCTGCAATTGGTATGTGTGGAATCCTGTTCTCTCTTCTGTGATCCCCCCCCCCTTTTTTTTTTTAAATTAGTGTGTATGGACGCCTGCCTGTATCTCGGCAACATCTGTATGTATTGCCTGCTGAGGCCAGAAGAAGGCATTGGATCTTCTAGAACTGGATAGACAGTTGTTAAGCTCGGCATGGGTGCTGGGAATCTAATGTTGTCCTCTCCTCTGCAAGAGCAGCAAATGCTCTTCACTTCTGAGCCATTTCTGTGCCTCCTCCCGCCCACCATCATTACCTTGGAGTGTGCCAGGTCTCACTAGCTGTGAAATTTACCTGCCAAACATTGTTATGTTCTGCCAAATTGCTTCAGGGAGAAAACTGGCCTGTCCCAGTCTGAAGTAGCTCTCAGGTTTGGGGAATCATCCTGTTGAAGTTATCCATGCCGTTTGTGCCTTGTTTAATGTTCTTTACCGTGGAAGAGCAGACGGGATGCTTTGGCAGTAGCTTTGTCACGTATATTCTCCACTGTGAATAGAAACAGATTTGGATGTGATTTGGTGGGAAGACCTCTGGCACTTTTTCCTTCAGAGATGGATTTAATGCCTCCACTAATGGTATGATGGTATGCAATGTTCCCTTTCATCTGTTGGAATGTTAAAGATGATACCATCGGTTTGTTATTCTGAAGATACCTGGCAGTTACCTTCATTTTTCAAGAAATTCAGCCCTGGACTGATGACATAGACCTATAATCCTAGCATGTTGGGAGTCTAAGACAGGAAAATTTCAACTTCAGGGTCTGCCTGAGCTACAGAGTTCAAGGCTGTCCTGGGCTAGTTAGTTTCAAAAACTGAAAAGGGCTGGGTGGTGGCGCCGCACACCTTTAGTCCCACCATTCAGGAGGTAGAGGCAGGTAGGTCTCTGTGGTTTGAAGCCAGCCTGGTCTACAGAGCTTGTTCCAGGACTGAGAAAGGAGAGAGGAAGAGAAGAGACAGTTTGTGGTGGGGCAGTAAACAATGTGAATTCTAGGACAGGTGGGAGGGCAGAAGATTGCTGTGATACCTGGTCAGGGAGCCATGCGGGCCCTCTGTGGTGGGAGGTGGTCCTGATTGGCAGGAGAGGGAGATTTGTGTAAAGCAGGAAGTTTACCCAGACCACACAGAACCCAAGATGAAAAACCAGGAAGTGTGGGCAGCCACTGTCTGTGCCTAGCAGCTCATTCTGCTCTCTGGCCCAGACAGGAATAAAAATAATCAGGGAAATTGTAAGCCATAGATTTCTTCCTATTAAACTTAATATGCTATTTTAAGTTTTTTTCTGGATTGAGACAGTAAGAAATCTGTAGTATTTTACATAGATTATTTAAATGAGTTTTCTGAACAGCAGCCTTAGACCATGGGCCATTGGGATTCAAGCTAAAAGAATATAATAATGAAAGGGTTTTGTTTGTTTGTTTGTTTTGTTTTGTTTTGTTTTGTTTTGAGACAAGGTTTCTCTGTGTAACAGCCCTAGCTGTCTTGAACTAGCTCTTGTAGACCAGGCTGGTCTCGAACTCACAGAGATCCGCCTACCTCTGCCTCCCGAGTACTGGGGTTAAAGGCGTGCACCACCACTACCTGGCATAATGAAGGTTCTTAACGTCACAATTCTTCGAGTTCTGAAAGGGATGTTCCCAGAGAGGTTGAGAAAAATTTCTATAGTCAAATATATTGCTATGTCTCTAAGTAAATGAATAAATATTCTCATTGTTGGCAAATTACACCTATCAATTTATGTCAGATTTTGTCACACAGGAGTTTATGATACACCACGCTTTGTTGTCATAGTTTTTTTTTTTATCAATTTGATACTTGAGTGTGAAATAGATTGTTAGGCAAAACCATAAAGCTGGATAGCTTTCTATTTATTTTGGAACTTGTTCTAAGTCTTCACTGATTTTTTCTTTTTAATTTATGTTTATGACTGTGCCTGTGTTTATGCACTGTATGTGTCCATGATACCTATGGAGGTCCAAAGAGGGCAGCCAATCCCCAGGAACTAGAATTAAGAAAGATTGACCAACTATGTGGCTGCCTGGAACGGGACCCGGGTCCTCTGCAAGGGTGCTTTTAACTGCTGGACCATCTCTCTCGCCTCTGATTTTTTTGTATCTTGTTTTTGTACCTTGTAGCCTTCCTAAATTAGTTATAGTTCAGTTATTTTTCTTTTCTCTTTCTTTTTTTGGGCTGGGAGGGTTGGCATGTCATGGCTAGCATGTAGTCAGAGCAATTGCTTCTTTGCTTCCACAATGCAGTTTCTTGGGAATTGAGCTTGGGTTGTCAGGCTAGGTGGGAAGTTCCTTCATCTACTGAGCCATCTTGCCAGTCTGCCTTTTTTCTTCTATTTTCTTCATTTCACTTCTTTCCTCCCCTCTTTTTCTCTCTATTATTTTCTTTTTGAGATTTTACCAAATTTGCTACATGAAAGATCACTTTAATCTACAAGTGAAAACATCTTTACTTTTGTGATGTAGATGCCTTTGATTTTGTTCTTTGTCTGATTTCATTGGCAAAAGACTTGTATAATACTGAGTGTCAGCGATGTGAATGTGTACCTTGGCCTTCTCCCTGTTCTCATTTTACCACTAACACTGCTGCTGTTGGTCCTTTAGGGACTTCGTTTTATAAGGTTGAGGAAGTTTCTTTCTAGTCTTGGTTTGCTGGCAGTTTTCAATTTTATGACGGAATTGTCTGTTTAAATGAAGCATTGGGGAGGCTGAGGTAGAGAATGTAAATTCAGAGCCAACATAGCAAGATCCTGTTTTGAAAAGCCAAAATATTACAAACTTCCTGAATTCTTTGATCCATCTTTATGAGTGATACTGGCCAGTTTTTTCTCTTCGGATGTCAGGAGAGCATAGTCCACTTTCTTCCTCTGGGTGTTGACATTTTTTCTGTTTACATTAGCTTTCCTTAGTGTTGATAATCCAGATAGAATTCGTCAGTATTACTTGTTTTCAGGGTACTTGCTTTTGGTTTCCTGTTTCTTTCTATTTGCTGATCTGACTTACATTTTCCCTCCCTATCTCTGAGCAGAAGGTATAAAGGGCTGTGGCATAGAAATTGGGCTACAGTTTTTTGTAGGAAGCAATTACTGTCTATGGCCAAAATTTGGTTTGTATTTTATTCAGTAAAGGTATTTCTAAGTTTAAGTCATAGCACTGGGGGGGAAAAAAGTCATAGCACTGACTGACAATTTTTTTTTCAGGAGGGTTCGCATTTGTTTATGAAGCTCAAGATCTGGGAAGTGGCAGAGAGTATGCATTAAAGGTAATAACTAATGATGGGTTATTTTATGGAGATTTTAGTTTTTTATAAAGATATCTTAGACTATTTTCAAGGATGCATCTCTGTTATTATGTGTGTATCAATCAGTTTCAATCTGTTAATCCTTGTTTCCTCCATGTTCTCAGGGCTTGCCTTTATGCCCACAACTCCATCTTACATTGAGAATTCTCTGGGTAGCTTCCTATTCTACCTGGGGGGCTGGTCCACTTTGGAGGGAGGAGGAGTGACGCTGTATAGATTTCATCTGTTCTGCTCCACATTCAAAACAAGGGTCAGGAATTTGAAGAATTCAGAAGCGACTTACCAAATTTACATTCATAACTTGCCTGTAAATAGGTTTAAAGTAATGTGGTAGGAAGTGGTCTCTAGATCTTGATGCCCAATTAGGCAGCTCTGAATTTTTTGCCCTGAGACATAGCAGTAGGTCCAGCTCTGCTTTGATAGTCAAACAGGGGTGTCCTCTCTTGGCAAGTGGGGCATAGCCAGTGGACCCCCAGACCAGGGCTGGTTTTGGCAGTCCACACTGTATGCCTATTTTTGCTGGTGTATACTCTGTCTCCTTGTTTGTCTTGTTTTACTCTGGCCTCCTTTTACTTTTTCTTGGGTCTTTGGAGTATAAAGGTCATTCAAGTCTTCTAAACATCTATGAGATCGGATGTTCAAATGCAGGTAAATGGTATACTATGCTCCCTGAGACTCAGTGTCTCTCAGAAACTGCCCATAATCTCCAGGATGTTTTATCTGTTAAACAAAAGGTAAACAGACCTCAATCTTCTTGTGTGCTATTCCCTGACAGAGATTATTATCCAATGAAGAGGAAAAGAACAGAACCATCATTCAGGAAGTTTGCTTCTTGGTATCCTTTTCCTGGGACTGAGAGTTATTGCCGTCACTAAATGTGTCAGGTTTGACACAGTTCCTGGGAGGCTCCTGTGATAAGTTAAAAAAAAAAATCAGCCTTTTGCTTTTATCAGATTTCCAGATTTCTCATGCAGAGGATTTTTCTCTATTACTCATTCTCACAGTTGAAGTAGAAGTTTCCTAGGTGTTGGGAAGAGGGTTGCCTTTGAAGTCTTCATGCCACAGATGGGTCAGTTATCACAAGGAGAGTCCCACTTTGCCCTTCTAATGACCTGGGCAAGAACTAGTGTATGCTACCATATCAGTGGGCATGAGCGTATACCCAACTTGCTCTTTTCACCCTGTACATACGGTACTTGACGGGACCTTTCTTGCCTTTTCTCTTCTACTACATGTTAAGGCATAGTCTTTACTGCAGATAGGATTTGCTTCCTTTTCTTTCTCGGATGTGCTATCTGATACCCCAGTGACTGCCTGAGTTTTGAGTGGGCACAGTCACTCCTGACCATCTTCCTGTTGTGGAACATGGAGGGCTTCTGCCTGTGTCTCTGGCCTGCTCATATTTAGCATTTCCACTAGCTTCCTGCCACAATTTTCACCTTCTCGCTGTCCTTACTTGCCCCTCCCTCATCATTTTGTTCAGCCTACGTATGCTGAGGCATAAGGCAATGTGAGTATCATGACTTTGGTTTCTTAACACTTATGAATGCTTATTTTTAAGTGCACAGAGTTGTGGACATACTTACTGATATCTTCTTTAACAAGACATGCAGAAAAAACTTTCCGGCCACCCCAACATTGTTCAGTTCTGCTCTGCAGCGTCCATAGGAAAAGAGGAGTCAGACACCGGGCAGGCTGAGTTCCTCCTGCTTACAGAGCTCTGTAAAGGTAAAGTGCCTTGAAGTTTAAGTGTTTTCCGACATGTTTGGATGGTAGTTAAATACTCCCAAGACGTTCTGAAAATACGTTGGTCTTGGCTGAAAGAAGCAAACAACTATCCACTGGTGTTTGTGTTGTTTGGAATATGCTTTTGTGTGTCCTTCATGGATTATAGGTTCTTTGTTTGTTTGTATGTTTTGAGACAGTTTTACTATGTAGGTCTGGTTGGCCAGGCTAGACTTGAAATCACAGATACCTACCTCTGCCCCCCAAGAGCTGAGATTAAAGGTGTGTGCTGCCATACCTGGCCTACCTACCTCTGCCTCCCAAGAGCTGAGATTAAAGGTGTGTGCTACCATACCTGGCCTTAGGCTTTAGATTCTGAAGAGCAGGGTCTCATCATGTCCTTCTCCTGAAAAAGGTTAGGCAGGCATGCAGTGGAACCTCAATGTCCTCGTATGTGAACTGGAAAGGACACATACACAGGCCCATAAGTGGCATGTCCTTAGATAGTGCAAATAGTGCTTTCTTTTGAGGAATGGAGGAAGCCTTTAGCTGGCTTGCAGCCTTATCCAAGTCAAACCTAAGAAAGCATCAGGAAGACTCTTTGATCCACTGATGGGACACGCCTCAGATAGATCCGTAGGGACAGAATGGGTTGCTTAAGTTGTTGAATTAGGAGCGGCAGGGCTGCGTCCCCGGCACCCGGCCGCCCGCATGGCTAGTTTATACCCAGAAATAATTACACGGAAACTGTATTCTTTCAAACACTGCCTGGCCCGGCTAGGCCCAGTTTCTTATTGGCTAGCTCTTACATATTGTTCTAACCCATTTCTAATATTCTGTGTAGCCCACAAGCTGGCTTACCAGGGAGGATCTTAACCTGCGTCTGTCTGGAGCGGGAGAATCATGGCGACTCTCTCACTCAGCTTCTTTTTCCCAGCATTCTCCTCTGTCTACTTCGCCTACCTAATTTTCTGTCCTATGAGGGCCGAGGCAGCTTCTTTATTATTAACCAATGAAATCAACAGATAAGATACAAGACCCACCTCCATCATTAAGTGACTATGGGTAATGCCTGAGGTTAGTCTTTCCCTTGCTGGGTGTGGTATTGCACTCCTGCAATCCTAACAGTAGGGAGTTGAACCCCATATTCTGGCTATGAAGTGGAATTGACCATTCAAAAATAGCAAAGTCCATCACAGAGCTCCACTGCTGAATGTCTGCCAAAATGTTGTCATTCCCAGTGTGGTCTGGACTGTGTGATGCCTATGCTGAGGGAAAACTGTGGTACAACTGGCTGCTTATGTGTCCACCTGAGCAGTGAGTGTTGGGACAGAAGAGGCCCAGAGAGGAAAAGGAGCTTGCCACACGTGACCATCTGAGGTCCATCAGTCCTTAAGACACACGTGGTGAGAGAAGAGGACAACTTCCACAAATTGTCCTCCGACCTCCTGTGTACATTGTCACCACACACCCACGTGAAATTTTTAAAGATGTAATAAAAAATAAATGTTTTAAAAAATTTAGCATGTGTATGAGGATTTTACCTGCCTGTGTGTATATGTGCCACATATGTGTTAGTGCCTATGATGGTCCGAAGAATATCAGGTCCCCTAGAACTGGAGTTATGGATGGTTATGAACCACTATGTGAATCCTAGGAAACAAACCCAAGTCCTCTTCAAGAGTAATAGGTGCTCTTAACTGTTGAGCCATCTCTCCAGCCCCAAAATAAATGAACTTTAAGATAGCCTTGTGGCTTATTTTGGTGGCATACGTATATGCTTTCAAAAAGGCAAGTTTTTGTAATTCTGTATCAAAACAATAAAAATCTCTTAATTCTTACCAAGAATGAGCTATCAAATGCGCCAGTTAAAATTTGCATTATGATCAGTCTGACATAGAGCTTAGGTGGACAAACCCGCTCCTGCCCCTTGGAGCCTGCCCGTGTTTCACCAGGGTCCACTGTTCCTCTGGATTTGTAAATAGATTCTGCAAATCAAGGGTGTTGGGAGCAGAAATAGTTTAATCCTGCAAGAGTTAGAAGCCAGCATGGGGCTACCAGCAAGCCATGGTGTAGTTCTGGACCAGGGGACTGTAGTGAGGAATTGTAGTGAGGGTCAGGGTTTCTGCTCTGCCTCTGCTGTGCTGTGGATATAAGCCTAGAACTTCTGGTTTGTGATCATTCTTTCAGTGACCTTGGTCACTGCCTCTGTCTTAGCTGCTAGAACTTTTCCCTCTGCCTTCAAAGCTTTCTCATATGATGGTTTTTGCTTCTTATTTTGTCCCAGTGATGCTTCAAACCATTTCCTTCCCCTCCCCTCCCTGGAGCAGGGGTAGTTCTCATACCCAGAGTTACAAGGACCCCCTTTTATTTGCCTTCTTACAGAAGTTTAAGGAGTGACCAGAGTGGCACTGACTGGGTATACACCCTGACGAAGGCCTTAGAAATGCCGCTCCCACCTGGGCTGCCATACACAGAGACAGACCAAACCTGTAAACAAGTAGAGAATAGCATTCTGAACCCCAGGGTGACTAAATTCACTTGTCTTCTTTAGGACAGCTGGTGGAGTTTCTCAGGAGAGTTGAATGTAAAGGCCCTCTGTCCTGCGACAGCATTCTGAAGATCTTCTACCAGACATGCAGAGCAGTGCAGCATATGCACAGGCAGAAACCACCCATCATCCACAGGGATCTCAAGGTACCAACTGGGTTACGTTCTGGCTGTATGTCGTCACACTCTGTTCTCCTTCTAGTCCTTGTGCCCCTCATGCTTGGTCAGCTGTTTGCTCAGCTATTGTCCAGTCATTCTAAGCTTCTCAGTTGCCTTTGCTCACAGAATTGCTGCCATGGTGCGTTTCTGACCTTGGTGGGGAATCACTTACATGAAAAAACTTCTGTTGTGCATCTCCAGCTATGGGCGGTGTGAGTGTACCACAGCCTAGCTGAGGGTGGCACCTACCTGTCTGAATTACTGTGTTTTTTTAACTGGTGTAGCCGGGCTGAGGAGTATAGTCATTTTAGTTTCTTTCACCTTTTTCTGTTATTAATGAAGTTGAGTATTTATAGCTACCAGCACCTTATTCTTTAGTTTCTTTTTATTTTGCTTTTTTCCCACTTATTCTTTTCCCTTTGCTTATATATTTGACTTACTAGAATTCCTGGTATATTATTGAATAAAACCTTTAAAGTTGTATTGCCATAGCCTAGTGTTCATTCCCCTGTTGTGTCTATTAAAAAAAAAAAAATCTGAAACTGGGTTGTTGAGATGGCTCAGCAGGTGAAGGCATTTTCTACCCAGCTTGATGTTTTAGCTACTTTCCTACTGTTGTGAAGAGACGCCATGACCAAAGCAATTTAGAGAAGAAAACATTCGGTTCCTTGTAGTTTTAGAGGTGAGTCCATGACCATCATGGTGAGGAGCATAACAGCAGACAGGCAAGCAGGCGTGATGTAGAACAGAATAAGAACTTAATTTACATCCTGGTCCTCAAGTTGGAGGCAGAGGTAATCGTGGGGAAAGACTGGGAAAAACAGAATTTTGAAACCTGAAAGCCCATCCCCTCTGACACACCTCCTCCAACAAGGCCACACCTCCTATCCCTTCCCAAAACAGTTCCACCAATTAGAGACCAAGCCTTCAAACCTTTGGAGCCTGCCCTGGAACTAGTTCTTGTAGAGCTCACAGGATCCACCTGCCTCTGCCTCCTGAGCGCTGGCATTAAAGGCTTACACTACCACCTCCCGGCCGCCAGTTTCATTTAAACCACCACACCTGACAACTTTGAGTTGATTTTTAGGCTCCATGTGACGAAAGGAGAGAACTTGCTCTCTCTGACATCCACAGATATGCTGTAGCATGCATACACCTCTTTACACACACAAAAAATCATTCATTCTTTCTTTCTTTTTTTCTTTCTTTAGACTTGAAGACAATGTGGTTGTTGGTGGTGGTAGGTGTATGTGTGTTTAAAAAGTGAATATAATCGTCCTTTGGCATTTTGCAGGTTGAAAACTTACTGCTTAGTAACCAGGGGACCATTAAGCTGTGTGACTTTGGCAGTGCCACAACTATCTCCCATTATCCTGACTACAGCTGGAGCGCCCAGAAGCGAGCCATGGTGGAGGAAGAGGTGAGGCATGCATTTGAGTCCCCCTCTGAGTCTTCAGGTACAAGTCTGAGTATGACTTTATAATTAAAAATTCTTAGCAGATTCCCTGCTACTGTATCCTGGGAGCATGATCATCTTCCTGGCTTTACTCTGCTAATTTGTAGCCACAGCTTTAAACAGAATGGATAATTCATTTGATCTCATACTATTGTTATCAACCTACCTTTAAATATCTTCATTCTGTTGATTTCTTAGAATTATTTTTATTGTCTTAAATATACACAACAAGTTTTATTTTAATATTTTAAGTCAGATTTCAGTGGCATTAAGATGCACACATTAGGGACTAGAGAGGTGGCTCAGAGATTAGGAGCACTGGCTGCTCCTCCAGAGGTCCTGAGTTCCAGTCCCAACTACATGGTTGCTCATAACCATCTATAATGGTACCCTCTTCTGGTGTACAGGCGTACATGAAGGCAGAATACTATATACATAAATAAATAAATTTTGTTTGTTTGTTTTGAGACAGGGTTTCTCTGTAGTTTTGGAGCCTGTCCTGGAACTAGCTCCTATAGACCAGGCTGGCCTTGAACTCACAGAGATCCGCCTGCCTCTGCCTCCTGAGTGCTGGGATTAAAGGCATGTGCCACCACCACCCAACTCAAATAAACAAATCTTTAAAAAAAGAAAAAGATACTCACATTATTGTGCAGCTATCTCCAGTTTTTTTCTGTCATTCTAAACTTAGGAAAAAGATGTAATGTCATTTGGATGGCTGAAGATGTGGCTCAAAGCATAAGCAAGGACCTAAATTCAATCCCTAGTATAAAATAATTATTTAGAAATATTCTTTCTTGAGAGGCCTGCAGCTTAGTTCAGGTGAAGTCACTTCAAGGCCAGATTGCCTCTCAGGAGAGGACACTTGCTTCCTAGGGATGCATCTGTGGAAGAAGAGGCATAACTACTCTGGTATAATGCCTGTCAGGGACAATTGTATTTATTGCTTAGCATGATGCAGACCTTATTAAAGGCAGGATTTCTTGGCTACTTGGAGCCATGCTTGTTGGATCAAGTGTGTCCTTATCTTTGCAAAGATGATGCAGAATTTCCCTGTTGAGTTTGAAGCCCAAGAAGGATACTTGAAAGCCCTGCCCTTGCTGCTCAGCATTCGTCCCACTGTACAGCCCACTGTATATGTGGTGTCTCAGTTTTCAGTATATCAGAGTTGTCAGTCACCACCCCTGTGAGTGAAAACCATTCAGGGCAAGTTTGTATTTGGATCATCAGTCCAGTCTAGTTCCTTTTGCTTAGTGATCCTTTTCCAGTGCCCTGCCTATCTGGGACATGTGGATACAGTCCTGCGTCCTTTCATTATGCCCGTCTGTTGTGTGTAGAGTTCAACTCCTTTCTCCTAGCTTCTGGTGTCCTGCAAGTCTCCTTCAGTGCTGATGACTCTTTTTAACCCATCTTTGCTGTCTGCTACTGACTGTAGTACTCTGCTCATCTCTGAAGTTAGGGGCCCTAGAACCTGCTTATGTATTTGTTATTCATAAGGTCTTGGATACCATTTTTCCCATGGTCACGATTCAGTAGGTCTATTTTGGTGGAAAATGTCCTAGATTTGCTTCACAAGCATCTGGATTCTTTTGACATTTACCATCTGGTATGGTTTTAATGTGGTTTGTTTCTCCAAACTTATACTGAGCTTAATCCTCATTGTGAGGTATTCATAGTGTAGAATCTTACATCAACTATGGTGTTTAGAAATGGACCCTTTTAGAAAGGATTTAGGGTTAGATAAGGTCATCAGGATGGAGCCCAGTGTTTGAATTCTGGTGGCTTTCTAAAAAAGACCAGAAGACTTCATTATTTCTTAGGTTATACAGGCTATTTCCCAACTAGAACTCATCTGGAAGCCTCTTTAGTATTTAGTATTTCCTTTTGCTCATCGTGTAAGCTTTGATCACTCTGGAAGAGGTTTCTCATGCCGGGTATGTTTGTTTACTTTGAGGAAATAAAATAGTCCAGTGGGTTAATACTTTGACTTGATTCCTTTCATTAATCCTGGGTGGCCATGAGAGATTACAATTTCTGTAAGGAAAGTAGTGGTGCAGCATTGCATTGCCAGAGGAGTGGCCAGAGGTCCTTCCAGAACACAGTGAGAGGAAAAGTCACTGTGTTAGCCTTCAGTAGAAATCTTAGAAAGTTGTAGGGTCTCTGTGTAAAATAAAATTAAAAAAAAATAATGCTTATGTCTAACTTCCCCTGAAATATTTGTTTTCTTCAGATCACGAGGAATACCACACCCATGTACAGAACGCCAGAAATTGTAGACCTGTATTCCAACTTTCCCATTGGCGAGAAGCAGGATATCTGGGTGAGGCCTGAGTCCTTCTCTTGCTGGTGCCTGGTCAGTTAGGTCATGGCAGGAGCTGCAGAGGCTTCATGTCTCATCAGCTCCCCTCTCTTATTTTCCCTGCCCTTATCAGTTGTGACTGCTACCAGAGGTGAATTAACAGAGCAATTGAAGGGGAAGCTGGAAAGACAGATGGCTTAGTGGTTAAGAACACTTGTTCCTCTTGCAGAAAACCCAGGTTCGATTCCCAGTGCCCATATGCTGACTTACAGTCATCTATAACTCCAGTTCAGGTGACCTAAAACCCTCTTCTGACTTCCAAGGGCAAAAGACATAACATTCATAAACATAAAATAAATAAATCTTCAAAAAAATAATAGAGCGATTGAAGTAACAGCATGACTTTGAGTCTGCACAGGCATCTCATGACAGACAATACAGACAATTTTCACTGCTGTTCTACTTCTGGAGTCTTGAATTCCAGGCCCAGGGATGTCTCTGCAAGGGTACCTAATACCCTCTGGGACTGTGTCATCATCCACAGACATCTACTTTTCTTTCACACCGGTACAGTTGACACAAGAGACCTCTGTGACCTCAGGTCTGTCCCACATGTATAGTAATCAGTCACTTACAAAAGGATGTCCCTGGGGCATTCTTAGGCTGTTTGCCAGCTGTGGTGTCAGGAGCCCGACTGCCCACTTCCACCCCTCTGGACAACAGCAGTAGTCACAGATTGTTTTCTCGTGCTTCTAACTGACTGACTAGAAGCCTGGCTTTCCACAAACCCCTCCTGGGATTAGGAACACTCTTGTGTACATTTACTAGTTTATTATCACAGAGGATATCATAACTGATAATGATGGAGGGATTCATAGAGCCTGTAGGAGAGTAGGTGGGGGTCTCACTACTCTACCAAAGTGTACCACCTTCTGAGATCTTCTATCTGCTCAGCTGTCTGAGAGCTCCCATGAATCTTGGCATTTGCATTTTGTGGAGACCTTATGGTTGATCACAACATTGGTCAGGGTCAGTCAGTTTAACCCTCATTTCCTCTGTCCTCTCAGAGATTGAGGCCTCTAATCCTGATTTTTGTCTTGGCTTTTCTGGTGACATGCCCCACTTTGAAGCTACATACAGATGGCCAGCAATCAAGGACTTTAGGAGTTATATGGTAGGAAATAGAAGAAGACTAATTATATAATTTCGCATGACCCCTGTTTACACACTGAGCTGGACCCTCCTTGTGACTAGAGCTATTATTTCCCTAGGGACACAGACAGTGGTGGCATCATCAGCCCCCAGGCACTGTCAAGGACTTATGTATTTGAAGTTTATAGGGGCCAGTGCTAACCCCACTAATGAAGACACATCGTCATTAATTTCTTAGTCCACCCTAGGGTATTCTCAGCACACATCTGGATAAAATCCCACTGCTTCAGTTTCCCCCGTTCACACTGTTGGGTGTAGTGAGTAGGACAAACCATTCCCATGGACGGAATTGCTGTTACTGGCCCATCTTGCCAGATTGACTTTTTAAATTTTAAATTACATGTATGTGTGAGTCTGAGGGTAGTTGTGTGTGTGTGTAAGTACTAGTGCCTGAGGAGGCCAGAGGCATTAAATCTCCTTGGAACTGGAGTTACAGGTGGTTGTAAGGTGCCAGACATGGATTCTGGAAGAGCAGTTCTTTTGTCCCCTCTGCTGATGACCTTGGCTCCTGGGTCCCTGCACAGCCTCTCGTTCCCTTTGTAATTGCACAGTCCTCCCACCCTCAGCACTCAGCCTCTGTCCTCCCTGCACGTTCTCATTCCATCGTTAATCTGCCTCTCAGACCCTGCTCTCCGTGTTTTCCCCACAGGCACTGGGCTGTATCTTATACCTACTATGTTTCCGGCAGCATCCTTTTGAGGATGGAGCAAAACTTCGGATAGTCAATGGGAAGTACTCCATTCCTGTGAATGACACTCGTTACACAGTCTTCCATGACCTTATTCGTAAGTTCCTGTTGTGAATTTGCTTGATTTAGAAACCTGAGGAAATGAGCTTCCCTGTTGGGTTTTAGGTGCAGCTGCTCATCCTTTGGCCATGTGGTCCCACATTTGCCTCTATAGCTGATGTTCTGACAGCATCTTGGGGGCGGGGGGCTTTCTCATGGAGCTGCCACCTGCCCACCCCTCTGGTGAGCTTACGGTATTCTGAGTGGCCACTTCTGATAGACCTGTTTAGTTTTTGTAGATATTCTGTCATTCTCTCCTTTGCTTCTGAAGTCAGTACTATGGGTAAAGTATATGATCTTTGTTCTGTAGCCTTTGCAATAGCAGGTGGTGCTGTCCTGTGGAGGCCCAGGGCTGTAGGTGATATGGGGCTAAATTGTGTTATTATTTTGCCTTAGGTGCAATGCTAAAGGTCAACCCAGAGGAGAGGCTGTCCATTGCTGAAGTTGTCCGACAACTTCAGGAAATTGCAGCAGCCAGGAATGTGAACCCCAAGGCCCCCATCACAGAGGTAAGGACATCGTGAGACTCTGTTGTCCATGCCTAGACCTTGAAGGTGTTGTGTATTCATTCTCTCTCTCTCTAATCTTTTGTGGGTTTTTTGTTTCGTTTTTTTGTTTTGAGACAGGGTCTCTCTGTGTAAATTTGGAGCCTGTCCTAGCACTCACTCTCTAGATCAGACTGGCCTCGAACTCATAGAGATCCACCTGTCTCTGCCTCCCGAGTGCTGGGATTAAAGGTGTGCGTCACCACTGCCCAGTGGTGTTGTGTATTCTTGGCATTAGCCTGAGGCTCCTTTATCTGGTCTAACTGAAGTTACAGGCCCTCACAGACTCACAACAGGCACTCCTGTGGGTCCTGGCTCAGATGGTCTCAAACTCTGGAATGCTCACTTAGATGAGCCAAAAGAGTGGCTCTATCATATCATCTGGTAGGTTTTTTTTTGTTTGTTTGGTTTGTTTTTTTTCTGGGTTCAGGTGGTATTTGTTAGTATCTATATCTCACAGTTTCTGGGGGTGTGGTTTTACTCATCCCCATACTTAAGACAGGATCAGGGCATATGATTGCTGGCCATCCTCTGCCTTGTGTCCTATTGTTGTACTGAGGCACCTTCTGTAATGTACTTGGGAAAAGCAGGCAGTCCGAGAAGACGTTGTGGCATGTGGACCAGGAGTCTTTCTAAAACAGCCATAAATCTAGCCTACACCCTCAGGATATAGGTAGGTCCTTGAGCATCTCTAAGAATCCAACATCCATGTCTACCTATGCACAGCTCATGGCTGAGGCCTGATTCTGCTGCCCTACCTTCTAGCTCATTCCTACAGTGAGGAGACTAAATTCCTGGTTATAGTTTTGTCCGCTTCCTGTTGTTGGTTCCTTCACCCCTAGAAGCAGAGCTTCCCCAAGTCTATTGATATTGAACTATTTATCAGGGTGGTTAAGGTCTATGCTGCTGAAGGGCAGGGTATAATGTGGAAGAGAGGACGTTTGGATATACTGGTCTGAGTCCTCATCTGTGGGTAGGGATCCTCAGAGAAGTTGTGGGGAGAAGAGGTCTGTGACTCCTTTAGGAGAACCTGCTGATAAGACCCTTTCTATTGGCACTAGAGGGATCTCAAAACTACAAACAGTGTGTACTGAGGATGGCAGGTTGATGATATGGATGCTTTTGACAAGTTTCTTTGGTTGATCAGGTTGATGGTAATAGGTCAGAAGGACAAAGAAGGCATTGGGGGATTGCTTTGTGGCAGGGCTGCCTGGGGCCTGTCCTGTTACCTTTGGTCCTTTGCAGGAGTGTTTGATGGCTGTCTTGGAGACCACTGAAAGGTAGGATGCAGGACTGTGGGCCTTGTTCCTCATAGTGTATCGGAAGAAGTACTGTGCCAGTGAAGACACAAAGAGTTTTATGATTGTAGTGCTTAGAGAACTCATGAACTTTCTTTGAACCAGCCAGCTCTTTAGACAATATGCACTATGGACTGAATTCAAAGAATAATGCAAGCTTGGTCCAAGGAGCCACACAGCACTAGGTATTAGTGTTCTGGGCTGCATGCCTGATACATCTACTGAAAATGGTCGAGTAGATTTGGGAGGAAATGGAATAGGAAGAATAGATTTTATGTCCGTAAAGGTCTAGATATGTCTTCATAGGATAAAGGTGTTAGCATTTGTCTGATGATACTCCCTAGGTTACCCTGAATGTTGTTTTAGAGCTGTGGAAGTTTTGTTTTATTTCTACCCCTGCCAAGACTCCTGTGTGTTATCCTTGTGTAGAGTAAAGCAGATGGAGGTCTGCTCATCAACTGAGGGCACGATGCTAAGTGCAGGTGCAAACGAGCTCTGGCTTTGTTTGAAGCTGACGCCATGCTTTTGAATCTTACAGCTGCTGGAACAGAATGGTGGCTTTGGGAATTCAGGGCCTTCAAGAGCACCACCTGCTCCTGGGGGCCCTGTGAATAGCAGTTACGGTGGAGGTAAGTGCCCCAGCCTAACCACTGGCCTTTCTCACCGGTTGTTTACCAGGTGCCAGTATTCATCAGAGCAGATATCAAGGGTTTTTCAGCTGGTGATTGGCTCTACCATTCTAAAGAACTCATAGTTCTTTTGAGCCTTTGTGTTCAGAGTAGAATGCAGAATTTTACAGGGCATTTGTATTCAAAATCAGCCAAGGTAAGAGTTCTCAGGGCAAGATCCAGGAGAAACAAATTTGGAGCCACATTAGCACTTCATAAAGCAAGGGTTAACTCACTTGCCATTCAGGATATAATGAAATAAGTCTTCCAGGCATGGTTGACCATAGTCTCTAGCTCCTCTGGAGGGTACACTGTATCCTGGACATCTGCACAGTTCAAAACCTACGGAAACCCTTCATAAAAGAAGACCTTCCAGGGTGCCTCTCAGAAATTATCAAGGTCAAACCTGCTTTAGACAAGGTTAGCAGATGATACCTTATGGTCACAGAGTACTACAGGTGCCTGCCTACTAGGGGGAGAGAAGGAGAGAGATGGGGGTCCTAGGAGCTAGAGTGCAGTAGGAAGGGTTGAGGGCTGTTCCTGCTGGTTTGTGAAGGCGAACCACAGAACAGTGGTCTTCCATCTCATGTGGATGGTCACCTTAAGAGCATCAATGAGGGAGAGGAGGACTCTGAAACAGATATGGTCTTGAACTGACTGTGGAATGAGTCATTTTCTAACCTCTCTTTTGTGATATCAAGGACTAACTGTGTCCTTCTCTAGATCTTTGTTTCCTAGAGAGGAAGTTCTTGTCTCCAATGATTGGCTACTGCAGTGTCCTGGTACTTGAGGTTTTTACACGGTGCCTAGCATGTGTGGTACAGTTGTAGACCATGGAGAGTGGGTCTCAGGGTGTCTTTTACATCATGCTATATGGGTTTACTGTTTGTGGAGCTGTTCAGAGCCTAAGTCACATCTGTGTTAGCTCTACCACCACAGTTTGAGGGTGTCACCCTGGTCTCAGAGTCCATTTTTGTTGGCTTTACCTGCACTCACTTTAGAAAGAGTATCGTGCAGTTACCATTTTGTCCTGTAGTTACCATTTTGAGACTGTGACTCATAGTTGGTACAGTTCCAGGTAGAAACTGGGTTTGATGTGTTCACATTGCCTTCTGTGCCTACATTACCCATTCCTTGAGTCTCTGAAATTGCTGGAAACAACAGGCTATCACTTGCTAGTGGGAAAGATGGCTCACTGGTGGGTTTGAGGGAATCTGGGGAAGCAATGAGGCTTCTTGGGGACATACTCTTGACCTACTGTGGCTCTTTCCTGTAGTTATGACTCTGGCAGAGTATGACCAGCCCTATGGTGGGTTTCTCGACATCCTGCGGGGCGGGACAGAACGGCTCTTCACCAACCTCAAGGATACTTCCTCCAAGGTCATCCAGTCTGTGGCTAAGTAAGTGTGAGGGCTGTCCTATCCTATTCTTTGCCTGTATGGAGATTTCCCCAAGGCAGTGTTATATACATTGTAACCCTCTGTTAAGTCAGCGCTGATCCAGATACAGATTTGAGTCTGGGACCTTGTCTTAGTTTGGTTTCTGTTGATGTGATGAAACACTGACCAAAACCAATCTGGAAGGGAAAGTGTTTATTTCAGCTTACAGGGTTATATTCTATTATCAAGAGAAGCCAAGATAGGAACTGCAATCAGGAAACTCTGGAGATAGGAACCGAAGCAGAGACCATGGAGGAATGCTGCTTACTGTCTTTCTTTCTATGGCTTGTTCAGCCTGTTCTCTTATGTAGCCTAGGACCCCCTACCGCATAGGCCAGTCTTATGGAGACATTTTTCTCAATTGAGATTTCCTCTTCACAGATAATCCCAGCTTGTGTCAAGTTGACAAAACACTAACCAGTGCAAACCTGAAGCCCCTGTCTGTAGGACCCGAGACAGAACTGACTTGGTGCACCATCAGCTCAGGATCTCCTTAGCTCTGCCAGTAACTGGCATGATGACTCTGTTCTTTTTCTTTGGCATCAAATAGATGAAGCAGTTGCAGGGCAAAGTGTCACCCTCCAGCATACTCCCATTGCTAGAAGGCAGTCTCTCTGAGAAACCTGGGACACAGTAGGTATGAATATGTGCTTAGGAAAGTCAAATGATAGCCCATGAGCCTTGGTGAGCGTTCCAGAACAGCACTGTGTTAAAGGTTACTCCATCAGCTTTCTGGAGGGCATTGTGACTAAATGCTCGGGTAGTCTCACTGGCCCTTACAAGGGTGTCTGCTGCTGTAGTAAGCACCACTGGATCATAGTGCTTGCAGTCCCCAAACTTCTACAGTTGATGCAACATCCTTTTCTTTGTTTTGTTTTGTGTGTGTGTGTGTGTGTGTGTGTGTGTGTGTGTGTGTGTGTGTGTGGGAGAGAGAGAGAGAGAGAGAGAGAGAGAGAGAGAGAGAGAGAGAGAGAGAGACTGTTTTATGTTCGTAGCCTTAGCAGTTTCATGTGTTTGCCTTGTGCCAGTGAGGGAGTGCACATGGATGTGGTACATTGTGGAAATAGTTACTTGAGCATACAGATGCATGTGCCTTCTGCCTGGAATATATGCTTAAACCACTGGGCATGTCCAGCCTTTTGATACTGTAACATGATCTCTGTCTATATTAGGGTTCTTTAAAGGAACAGAAATGATAAAATGAATATTATATATTTTATACAGGTTTTATTAGATGATTTACAGGCTGTAATCTGGGTAGTCCAGTGATGATTGTCTCATGACAGAAAAGCCAAGAATCCAATAGTTGTTTAGTCCACACTGCAAAAGTCTAGTGAGGCAGTCACTCCGGTATTCCCATTCGGTTCTGTTGGGTCTATCTCAGGCATGATTTTTCCTTTTTTATCTTTTGGGTGTTTCCTAGAGCTTTATTTAGTACTTTGGCTTTTTCGCTCTCTCTAAAGCACCACTCCTCACCATACTGCTGCTTGTTTGTGATGTTGCTGACCCCCATACCCAGGTCAAATGGCATCTCTCTCTCATTCTTACAACTTTGAGTTTATAATAAACTTTAAAACCAAAGCAACAACAACTCATGATTTTTAAGTAAGTTTATGTTTTTTTTGTTGAGCTATATTTATGACTGCCTTTGGCTGTATGAAACCTGTGGGCTACAAAGTAGACATAACTGGTAAGAGTCACATAACTCCTGTGTTTATTAAATTGATTTAAATTAGCAGTAAATTCTGTCATATTTTGGTTATATCATATGTGAAAATATCCAAGTGTGGTGACAGGTGGCAAGAGTGACCACTTCAGTCACTCTTGGTTGCTTGAGGCTGCTTGATGTTTTAGAAGTCAAGATCTGGGCCACCCTGGTCTATGTTGGGTACAAACCTATGTGTAGGATATACTGTATGTGGAGCCCTAAGTGATACGCAGTACCTATTGTACACCACTAGGTGTCTCGCCTGTGCTTTCCTGTACCTGACCAATGCTGAGGCACGTTTGTCTTCCTTTAATGCTGTCATCTGCTTTATATTTGCACTTCACTCTGTTTACCTTTGTAGCCCTGATTGATATGAAACTCACTATGTAGACCAGGTTGTCCTTGAATTCACAGAGATCAGAGATTTGTCTGCCTCTGCCTCCAGAATGCCTGGATTAAAGACATCTACCACCAATACCTGGTATCTTGGTTACTATTGGGTTATTGTTTTTGTGAAGAAAAAGACTGGAACTAATTAGTTCTGATATGTGGCCTGTTAGTTTAACTGCCTTTTCCCACCAAAATTTAAACACCAGATAAAACTATATTTAGTAATGCTGTTTGTTGTCTCAGAAAGCCCTTTATACCCTAAGTTAGCCTGTCTTGAATAGGTTCAAATGACATTTGAAACTGTTAAGATTATCATAATCAGTGAATGATGTCAGTGAATTATAGTGTATGTCTGTTCCTTTTCCCACCTGACCCTCTGTATTGACCCCTTGTTGACTCTGCTGATACCAAGTGAGCCTTCTTCAGCTGTCTCTGACTTTCCTGTCTTGACCTCTCTGCCCAGTTATAGTGTACTACTCAAAATAGTTATGCAACACCATGTATCTTCCTCTCTCCTCCTTTCCAGCTTATCTTGGCTGTTCTAGCATATGTGCTTTTTGGTTTTTAAGAGGAATTGTATGTAGAATAAGTTTGTTGAGTTCTTGCATAGTCGTTTAGGATTTGGTCTGTATTTTTGTCAGTTTTGCGAACCGATCTAGGGGATTGGTTCCTAAGAGTTTTTGGTGGCCATGAGCAGTGATGTGTCTTGGTCACTTGGATGTCTTTGTTTCCCTCCAGCAATGTCTGCTGTCTCCTTTTAGGCTTGTACAGGGCATAGGGTGTGCTCTTGACTCAAGTTGCCCATCACTGCTCCTATCTAGCCCCCTAAAGCAGTGGGATCAATGACTGATGTCTACACACCCTTGTCTTTATTACTGTCAGGATTAGCCCTCAATGTTTTTGCCTTGGAGAATACTTCAGAAAGCAAAAGATGGCTAAAGCCCTTCTGGGACTGCTGTCTCCCACTTTGAGGTGTTTTATGCCACTTCTCATTGGGTGTCAGCTCATACAGCAAAGTTACACACAAGACCTTGTGCACATGCACACACATACTTCTCATGGGATGCAGCCTGCCAGCAAGGTTACCTCAGCATTCTAGGACTTGGGCTCCACTTAAAGTTCTTAAGATATAACTGCCAACTGTGTTTTCTGTAGTGATGGAATGTTCTTTTCATTCCAGCTATGCAAAGGGTGATCTGGACATATCTTATATCACATCCAGAATTGCAGGTATGTCTAATTGGATGATAAACATCTATAGGGGACTTAGACAAGGGGCCCAGTATGCCTCTTTAGCCTCTTTGGTAGTCATGGATTCATCTGAGGTATGACCTGGAGACTGCCCAGATTGGTGGTGGGTAGGTGGCCTATGTTGAGCTTATTTCTTGGCTTAGGAAGAGGGCAGAACCAGTATCAGCCCAGTAGCTGGCATGATTAGAACTCTGAGGGTGCAAAGGGAATAATGTAATAGTAGGGCCATGCATATTTAGAGCTAGAAAATCTAGGCAAAAAACAATAATCAGAAGAGCTAACTGTAGCTGCTATAGACCATGATGTGTATGTATCAGGTTTCTTGCAAACTTTTCCCAGATGTCTGTGATTAGCTTTGTAAAATTTCCTGTGTTGTAAGCTTGCACACCTCCCACTGCACAGGCTGAGGGGCATAAGAGGGTGAGAAGAGCTTGTGTTTTGCTAGCTACCCGGCTAGGAGGCAAGCACAGCCCAAGATGGCAATCCTTGAGCAGCTAACTTGAATCTACTCTGTTTCAGTGATGTCATTCCCAGCAGAAGGTGTGGAGTCAGCGATCAAAAACAACATAGAGGATGTGCGGTTGTTTCTGGATGCCAAGCATCCAGGACACTATGCTGTTTACAACCTGTCTCCAAGGATATACCGGGCTTCCAAATTCCACAACCGGGTAAGTGGCTTTGAACTATTTTTTATGATTTAAGTCATTCTTTCCCCAGTGAAGTACAGTTCTAAGTGATGGATCTGCACTAGCCTGATATGGACAGTGCTCGCCAGCTGCCAGGAGCAGAACATGGCAGCTGCCAGGGAGGCTAGGGCTAGAGGTGTAGCCGGGGCTGGGGTTAGGCCAGAGTGTGAAGGGAATTCTGCAACACACACACACACACAATGTGATGAAAACCTTGGGAAGATTGTTGACTTCCAGGAACCTAGGATGACCTCCCCTTTACTGCTCCTGGGTTCCAGGACTGTTCAGTCATATAATCTACTTGGTGACATTCAACACGGGACTTTTCACATACGTAATGTGACCCCAAAGCACAGGAAAAGGTAGCTCTTTTTGCAGTACCAGTGAATGAATCTTGTGGCATAGGTCACTCATAGCCAAGAGAGATGTCACATGAGAACCCCAGCTGAGAAAGATGCTCAGAGACACAGCCCACCATATTTATTAAGTCATTCAAAAAAGGACAATTCTGGGGGACCAGAGAGATGGTTCAGCAGATAAAGGTGACTGCTGTCAAGCCTGACAACAAAGTTCAGTCTCTTGGACCAGAAAATCAGCTCTTACTAGTTACCCTCTAACCTCCATGTACATATGTTCTGTGGCACTTTTGTTTATGTACATACATGGACACACACACACTGGTTAAAAAAATTATTTAAGAAAGGACAGTGTTGCTGGGCCATGGTGGTGCATACCTTTAATCTCAGCACTCAGGAGGCAGAAGCAGGCAGATCTCTTGAGTTTAAGGCCAATCTGGTCTACGGAGCAAGTTCCAGGACTGCCTGGGCTATACAGAGAAATCCTGTCTCAAACAAACACACTCACACACAAGGGACTATCTTGTAGGCAGGAACATGGTAACCATGTGGAGATGCCAGCCAGGTTTTTTGGAGCTGGTACAGAAACTCAGCTGAGTGAACTTTTCCCCCACAGGTCTCTGAGTGTGGCTGGGCAGCCAGGCGGGCACCACATCTCCACGGTTTGTATACTCTATGCAGGAACATGCATGCCTGGCTCCGGGAAGACCACAGGAACGTCTGTGTTGTGCACTGCATGGTGAGTTGTGCTGGCTACTTACAGCTTTGGGCTTGATGGACACAGACTCCCTGGTGTTTTCTTCTCCTATGGGATAAGAAGCACTCATAAGGGCCCTTTATGGTGATCTGAGCAGCAATAAGCCACTCCTCTGGGAGAGGGGTATGCATCTTGAGATAAATGAGGGTTTTTTTAAAATATTTATTTATTTATTTGTTATGTATACAATATTCTGTCTGTGTGTATGCTTGAAGGCCAGAAGAGGGCACCAGACGTCATTATAGATGATTGTGAGCTACCATGTGGTTGCCGGGAATTGAACTCAAGACCTTTGGAAGAGCAGGCAATGCTCTTAACCACTGAGCCATCTCTCCAGCCCTGATAAATGAGTTTTTACCTCAGGTTTTCCTAACCACAGAGTGAGGGAGAAAAATTGGGACACCTACATGCAGTGTGACACCCAACAGGAAACACACTTAGGGCTCAGCCCTGCTTTACTGCACCTGTGTTCTGATTTTTTGAGACAGGGTCTGTACATACCCTTATTGTTCTAGAACTCACTATGTGGACCAGACTGTGTTGTGGGATGTTTTACTTTTGGCTTTTTAAGGGGTTCACCTTACCACTCCCAAATAAACACACAATTATTATTACCTGTAAGCCAGCCAGCCTTAGCTGGTTTGTTTCTTGCCAGCTTTTCTTAACTTATATTATCCTGACTACCTTTTGCCTCTGGGCTTTTATCTTTCTCTATTTCTGTATACCTTTCTTCTTTCTCCGTGGCTTGCTGTGTAGCTGAGTGGTTGGCCCCTAATGTCCTCCTGTCCTTGTTCTCTTGCTCCCCATTCGCCTCCTTGTTTCTCTTTTATACACTTTGCCTACTAGCCCCACCTGTCCTTCCTCGCTTCTGCCTCGCTATTGGCTGTTCATCTCTGTCTTAGCCCATCGGGTGTTTTAGACAGGCACAGCAACACAGCTTCACAGAGTTAAACAAATGTGGTGGAAACAAAAGTCACACAGCTGGAAATAATATTCCCTAACAAGGCTGGCCTCTAACTCACAGAGATCCACCTCTCTACCTCCCAAGTTCTGGGATTAAAGGCGTGTAACATCACATCTGCTAAACTGTTAATAAATATTACAACAAGAACAGTGGTAAGATGAACCTGGTGATACTGACCTGTATATAATCTCAGCCACTTGGGAAGCTGAGGCAGAATGATCACAAGGTAAAGGCCAGCCTAAACAACTAACAAGACCCTGTCTCAAAATAAGTGATATAGCATTTCCCTAGCATGCAGGAAGGCCTGGGTCCAGTTCCCAGTAACACAAATGAAGATAAAGATGTTGATGAGAGGTCTTGGGAAGGAATTAAACATAGTGAGACCAGCAGGCCAACCTGAGTGGGAGGCCAGCCTGTGTACTTTGTTACTGACTGTTATCTTCTGGGCTCTGAATTCTCACTGCACCAAGCATATTACATGTTCCTAAACAAGCCCAGCATGAGGTCCTTCTCTTAGGCCCATAGACAGTTGGGAGGTGTATAGGAACTGCTGTGGGCCCTCATCTTTTTTATACAGGGCCTATGCGTAAAGGAAATTTATTTCTTTCTCCATTCTAGGATGGGAGAGCTGCCTCTGCTGTGGCAGTTTGCGCATTCCTGTGCTTCTGCCGTCTCTTCAGCACTGCAGAGGCTGCCGTGTACATGTTCAGCATGAAGCGCTGCCCGCCAGGCATATGGCCGTCCCACAAAAGGTACCAGGTGATTCTTGCTGGGGACAGTGATGCCTACAGCTTTTGTGATGCTGCCTTCACTGTGTTGGACCTAAGGTCAGGTACTTTAGTTTGTTCCAGGCCAAATTAGCATCACTGTGGCTTCTAGCTCAGCCCCCAGACCTGTGCCCACAGGTATGCAGCAAGTGTAGATCACAGTTGACTTTCAGCTAGAACTCTCAAGGTATGATGGCTTCCGACTTGTGATGGCAGCCTCCTGTTGAGTGCCTGGGTACCAGGTTTTCCAATAAATGTGTGAACTTGGTGCGGCTATGTTTTCTGTGGGATCCAGCCTTGTGTGGACTCGGAAGGTTATTTGGGAATACACTGTGAACCTTCAAACTTTCAAATATGAAATGTTACCCCGCTTGTTCTGAGGTCACAAAAATGCATATAAGACTCACTGAGACATTCCTGTTGACATAAAGTAGGTCTTTCACTCACCTGCGATGTAGGTTGTTTCCAGGTTCTGGCTATGACAAACAATGCGGCTATGTTGAGCACATGTCCTTGTGGCACGATTGAGCATTCCTTTGGATATATACCCAAAAGTAGTATTGCTGGTTCTTGAAGAAGGTTATTTCCTAATTTTCTGAGAATCTTTTTTTTTTTTTTTTTTTTAACATAGGGACCCACAAAGCTCAGCCTGACCTAGATCTTGCTATATAGGCCAGACTAGTCTTAAACTTGCACCACTGTCCTGTCTTAGCTGCCCTCATGCTGAAATTATAGACATGAGTTGTCATGTCTGGTTAAAAAGCAAATTATTGAGGCTGTGCCTGGCTTTGCCACCTCGTTCATTCTCTGTGGAACTACTTCATTTGCTATGTCCACTCTTGTTTAGTATTCACCATTCCCCTAGAACAAGAGTCACATTTGAAAGTCTAGGTCTAGAGAGACACTGCCCATCATAAATGTCCTCTGAAACAAGGTTTCTGTGTAGCTTTGGAGCCTGTCCTGGAACTTGCTCTGAATACCAGGCTGGCTTCGAACTCACAGAGATCCACCTGTCTCTGCCTCCCGAGTGCTGGAATTAAAGGCATGTGCCACCACCGCCCGGCTGTCCTCTTGTCTAGTGAGTACTTGGAAGGGCATGGATCAGCCTTCTCACTGAGAAGGAGAGTGGGCTTTGATATGAGCAGCAGAGCTGTGAGGATGGGTGGAGCATAACACAAAAAGCCAACATGGATGCTGTGTGAGGCAAAACTCCAGGCCAGTAAGGGACCCTACACTTTAGCAGTAGTATTAGGTGCTCACTGCCTGGTGGGTTGGTCATCATGACTGCAATGTGTTCCTCGGGCCATATAAGGAGAGTGACTGTACATCTCTGTCCCTTTCCTAGCCTCTGTTAGGGGTGGCTGGAAGGATTTTAGCATGTTCAGCTCTTAGTTTTTTGTGCTTCTATTTCCCACATGTTGGGGCCTGCTGGGTCAGAGATGTGGGCAGCAGAACTGCTGAGGGTGAGTAGAACATAAAACAAGACAGTGTCTCTGAGACTCCACCAGGAACCCTGGTGCCTCCACTCTTGTCCTAATAGTGATTGGTACGACTTCACATCGATGCCCTTTACAAACCCCTTATAAACTGGGGCCCAAATGCCATCAACTCGCTTCAGATGTAAAGAGCACTGAAGAGATGGTGCATTTGTTGTCAGGATGTATTTGGCTGGATACCACATGGGAAGACCCAGAATACTGTAGTAGGCATGAGTAAAGCCTTGGGGCATTGTGACAGAGTGTCCCTTCCTGGATGACTGTTCTCCACGGTCTCAGGAAAGCATATACAGTGTCTAGTCCTTTCTTAGGGAAATAAACAGAACCAAAGAGCACTTTGGAATTCAGAAGGAAATTTAAAATAGCTGATGAGTCTACCAAAGACCCTAGCAAGAAAAACAGACAAGATGGAGGGGTGTGGATAGTCACATTAGTAGAGCTGCACCGCAGTAGTGTGAGAATCTCAGGCTCTTAGAGGAGTAAACCATAAAAACACACACACCCCCCAAAAAAAAGTCAGAAAAGCTCTATTGTCAGTAGACAAAGTAGATTCAAGCTGAGCATGGTGGTATATACTTGTCATCTCAGACTGGGAAGTTAGGACCAGGAGGACCAGGAGTCGAGGCCAGCCTGGACTGCATAGCAAACCTCTACCTCCAAAAAACAAAAACAACAACAAAGCTGATCATAGAGGCACATATCTGTAATCCCAGTACTTGGAAGCAGTTAGAGGCAAGAAGATAAGAAGTTCAAAACCAGCTTTAATTATGTAAGAAATTTGAGGCCAATCTGATTTATGTGGTCTTTGTCTTAATCAAAATTTATAGTATGGTAAAGCTGAAGAAATGGCTAAGTGGTTAAGAGCACTTAGATATTCTTGCAGAAAAGACGTGGGTTCAATTCTCAGTGCCCACATGATGACTCAAAACTGTATATAGCTCTAGTCCCAGGGGATCCAGCACCCTCTTCTGGCCTCCAGGGTACCAGATGTTGAAGTGCTGAGTAGCTCAGTATACATGCAGACAAGCACTGACACACATAAAATAAAATAAATTAATTTTAAAATAAAAATTTTTAAGATTGACTACCATTATTCTCTCAGTAGTCAGTAGAATAAATACACACAGTATCACCGACTTCCTAACACTCACTGCTGTAGAATGTTTCACCATAAATACAAAGATAACATTTCTTTCAAACACATGTGGAACATTAAAGCAACCTCATTTTGAGCCATTAAGTGTGTGTGTGTGTGTGTGTGTGTGTTCAAATTCCTCTGGAACTGAAAATAAAGGTCATTGTGAGCTGCCTGATATGGGTATTGAGAATTCAATTAGGGTCCTCTGAAGAGCAGCAAGTAGTCTTAACTGCTTAGTCTTCTCTCCAGCTCCTAAATAAAAAAAAAAAAAATTGAAATTATACATACAAAAATACGTTCTTGGGCCCTAAGGGTTAATATTTCAAAAAAACTTCTAACCAACTCATGGGTAAAAAAGGAAGGTAAAAAAATCTCAAGGGATTTAAAATACTTTCAAAATATAGTAACAGATTTTTGAAGAGCAACTAAAACAAACCTTCAAAAGGAGATTTATGGCATTAAATACTTTATTTGAGAAGAAAAAATGACTGATGTGTTTGTCCTGTCCCCTGAGGATACATCACATACTTGAGTGACAAGTGCATGTCTGCTTTAGGTATATTGAATATGTATGTGACATGGTGGCAGAGGAGCCCATCACACCCCATAGCAAGCCAATGCTGGTGAAATCTGTTGTCATGACCCCTGTGCCATTGTTCAGCAAGCAAAGGAATGGCTGCCGACCATTCTGTGAGGTCTATGTTGGGGAGGAACGCATAACCACCACATCCCAGGAATACGACAGGATGAAGTGAGTACAGATTTGGGGTGACTCACCCCTTGATGTTTTGTGTCCTCTTGCAGACTTCTGACGTAGAAACTGTCATGTGTTCTGGTTGACATGTGCTAGGTACAAATGACTGCATGTTGGGCTAAGGGTGGAGGAGAGGGATGTATGTGCAAGAGTGACTTCTTACACTTTGGAGGCAGAATCAAATGGATCTCTGAGTTCAAGGCTAGCCTGGTCTGCAGGGCAAGTGCCAGAATAGCTAGGGATACATAGACAAACCCTGTCTTGAAAAGCAAACAAAAAGAGTAATTTCTTGTAATAAATATTCTGCTAGCAACCTATATAAACAGCTAGAGAAAGTGTGGATTCAAGTGTTGGGTAAAATCTTAGAACTCTTGTTTTATTTATTTATTTGTCTGTTTATTTATTTTAGCTTACATAAGGCTTAATGTGTTCCAGGGAATTTAAAATTGAGGATGGCAGGGCTGTTATCCCCCTGGGCGTAACAGTTCAAGGGGATGTGCTCATCATCATTTACCATGCCAGATCCACTTTAGGAGGGAGACTGCAGGCCAAGGTAAGTGTTGCTAGAGCTGCTTACTGTGTGTTTTGGCCTCCTGATTGACCTTTATCCAGGGAGCTGTAAGGCATTGTTCCGTAAGTATTTGGGCCAGTCCTCAATGCTCTTTGTGTGGCATGTGTCAAACGGGATTTTAGCCTGAAAGGTCAAGAATTTCCCCATGAGCATAAGCTATAGTCTTGATGAAGAGCTGTTGTGCTTAGCTTTGGTGCCTCTCCTGCCTCAATCCAAGCTGCTCTGACCCTTATGCAGGCATCTTCTCCACTCTCACCAAGCATTTGGCCGAGAGTACCAGCCTCCAGATAGTGTTATCCTATCTGTCCTGTGCTTTAAGTTGTGCGTGCCCCATCTAGCAGCTTGTGTTCTTGGGGAAGAACTCTGATCCGGGATTAGTATACACTCTCAATGGGTCTCCTGTGCTGGTCTTTTGTAGATGGCGTCCATGAAAATGTTCCAGATCCAGTTCCACACTGGGTTCGTGCCTCGAAATGCAACCACTGTGAAATTTGCAAAGTATGTTGGTGTTGCACTGTGCTGCTGTTGGAGAGGGACAGGTACCCAGAACCACTAGCTGAACACATGCATATGGGTCAGTCCCAAAAAAGAAAAAAAAAAGGCTAGCAGGTGAAAGACCTGCCACGTGATACTGACTGCAAAAGTGGCCGTAGGCCCTTGCGTGCTTGTGTGTTCTGCCCCTCACACTTTACAAAGGGCCGGGTGGCTTCCACTTTGTACCCTGATACCTTTGGACTGACCCTATGCATCTCTTTTTAGAGTTTAGCTAGTTAAGTCTTGATGTGGCATAACCAATGAGTAGCAAAATTTATTCCACATTTCGACTCTTTATTCTGTGCACAGGGCTCTGCTGGGAACTAAGTTTGGAGGTAACATGCTGGTCCTACCTTCTAGAAGCTTGGTCTGCTTTTACAGACAAATGTATGCACAAACTCTACTGAGTAATACCCCTGTAGGCTGATAGAGGGCTTGCAGGATGCTGTTGTATATACTAGGTTCTAGCTTGTGGTGAGCAGCTGGCATCACTCACCAGTTGAAGGTTGTTGGTGTAGCCTCTAAGCATCAGGATGTATTTTCAGATTCAGGTGTGTGGGTCTTGTAGCGGACTCTCTGCTCCATTGAGCACACTTACCAGCCTGGGCAGAAAGGAAGTGAGTGGTCCAGGAGCGAGCAGAGGATTTCCAAGGGCAATGCCACAGCCATGCTGTGTTCTTCAAGGGGAGCACTAGACCAGGGTACCACAGGTCACAGCTTCAGAGATTGTGTGTGTGTGTGCGCCCGCTAATCTCTTGCATTTGTCTCTTTGATATTGATACTTCAATCTCAATTTGTTTGAGGCAAAGGTCTCTTACTCTGAAGCTTAGGCTCATACCGACTATGTAGCCCAGGCAAGCCTGGAGCTCATGTTGATCCTCCTGCCTCAGTCTTAAAAGTGCTGGAATTACAGGTGCCTCACTCTTTCTTGCAAACAGTAGTTTCTGTAATTTTCAGCCACGGTGGAGGCCTGGTTAATTATTTTTTAAGACCAAATGATTAAAGAAAATGTAGATGAAAGGTTATATGATTTAGGTATTAGAGTTAATGAGAAGGAACTTTTAATAGTTCTGACTAATACTAATATGGTTTGAGTGTCTCCACAAATATTCATGCTGGAATTTAATCTCCATTTATAATTATTAAGAGGATTAAAACTTCATCTAACTATGTTGTGTGGGAGTCTGGCTTTTGGGAGGCTGTTAAGGTTAAATGAGGCCATGAAGGTAGGGACCTGTCCATTAGCTTTTTATAAGAGGAAGAGGACTGGACTAGGATACTCTGTCTGGCCAGTGCCATCTAGGACCCCTCACCAGATGCAGCCACCAGTCTCAGACCTCTCAGCCTTCAGAACCATGAAAAGCATAAGCTTTTATTCTCTAAATCAGTCTTGATAGTATTACAGCAGCACAAAATGTTTCAAGACAACCTATTTAGGAAATCAAGGGGAGGACCAGCAAAGTAAAGGTACTTGCCACCAAGCCTGATGACTTGAGTTTAATTCCACGGGCCCAAATGGTGGAAGGAGAGAACCAGCTCCTGCAAGTTGTCCTCTGTCCTAATTCAGGCTCACTTGTGTGCATGTACACATACACACCCATACAAAATAAATACATTAAAACATAATAAGGAATTAAAAAAAAAAGAAATCAGAGAGGAAAGAAGATTTTAGCAGACCAGGAACATGGACACAAGACAGATGTGAATTCCAGAACTGAAAACAAAACTGACATGAAGAATTTGAGAAATGTGCTGGCAGCAGAGCAGGCACAGTGAATTGTAAAGAATAAATTCTTGAGACTGGGCATAGGGGAGATGAAGGAAGGCTGGACCTGAAAATCTGAAGTCAGAGGAGAAGAACAGATTCAGCTCCTAGGAGAGCAGTAGACATGTAAGCCCGTGGGGTGTCAGGTCTTTGCATTATACAGGGTTTTCTAAGAGCAAGAGAAACCCCTGCTTCAGAACATAGTAAAACTGATAACAGCTAGACAATAACAAGCACATGGTAGGCAGCCGTCATGATTGTCATGGGGACCAGGCTGACTAACATCTGTTAGTGAACTGAAGAACTAGAGGCCAGAAGTCAGTGCGGTAACATCTTAGGAGTGATGAAAGTATGAGAATTCTGTATCTAGGGAAAGTGCCCTTGGATGGTGTGATTAGCTTAGCAGATGTGTTCAGGGAAATAGGAATAGTTATTACCAAAGGGCAGACAGACAAACTGGAAACAAGCCTGAAACTAGTTATAAGATATGAGGAAAATTGGGATGTTCCCTTTAGTAGGTAAAATTGTGTATTGATTACCATAAAAAACCATGCATTATTGTGGGCTTTAAGATTTGTTTGGAACTGGCTATGTTGGCCCACAGGTTTAGTTCCAGCATTCAGGAGGCAGAAGCAGGTGGATTCAAGGCTAGCCTGATCTACTTAGCCAGTTCTAGGATAGGTGGGACTGTATAGAGAGACCCTGCCTCAAGAAAGAAAGAAAAAAAAGATTTGTTTGTAGTAAAATACATGACAGCAGCACCAAAGAGTCAGGAGAGACAACCAATGAAATGTTTCCTCATTAGCCTCTGAGGCCTGAAAGTCAGCAGTGTGCTAATTGTAGGCTAAGGAAGTATGTTATGATTCCACAGAAAGCAGTAAAGAGCTTAATAAAAATAGAGGAGAAGAAAAATGGAACACAGATAGGATTAATCTAGGTAAGATCAGGATGGAGAAATGAAACAGAGCCAGAGGAAATGGACAGAAAATAAGCAAACCCATCCCCAGTCTGATTCCACATGTACAAAATATGCCACATGAAAGATGATGCTATCGTGTTGTTTAAACAAACAACTCAACTAAAAAGAGACCTCAAATGTGTGTAGTTTACAAGAGCCGTGTTTTAGAAATATACATGCAATGATGACTAAAAAGGCTAAAAGTGGTAGAATGGCCGCTACCTCAGAAACACAGGCTAAAGAGCTAGTCACTGTCAGCAACAGCTGGTGTGGACCACGGTGCGATGCAGTGCTTTGAGAGGAAGCAGTGTGGTGTGATGAAAGGAGTGAAGGCAACGGCAGACCATTCATGTGTTTGTGAGCACCCATTAACAGAATGGTTAAACTACATTTGCTGTCATGTCTTTTTTTGGCCAGCAGAACAAGTAAATAAATCATTATATAGATCTTTAATACAGTGACTTGAGTTTCTCAAACTTCAGTAACTAGGGAAAAAAAAATGAAAAAACAAACTTGATTTCTCTTGTTTGAAGTATCCAGTGTATGGTACTGCTGTTTGAGTTTGGGGGAGCTTCCAAACACAGAAGTATGTTTTGAGTACATAAGCCTGCAGTAAGGCAAGGGTGTTGACAAGGGAAGCTACATATAAGTGCAGCAGATTGCTCTTCAGAGCAGCTGAACTGTAGCTGTAGAAAAGAATTGCAAGACCATCAGATCAGCTTGAGTGGGTCAGTCTCTGAGTTGTCCTGTGATTGAGTGAGGGTCCCTGGTGAGTTTCAGTACATCATACTACAGTCACGACACAAGTCAGAATATTGTTTACAATGTACTACATGTGTGAGAATACCCTTCACTTCTCATTGGGGCCTAGACATACTGGTATCCACCTTCCAGGGCCTGTGAGCTGTGTCTTAAAGCCCAGCTCCTAGCCCCTGCTCACACACCCTCATTGTGCCCTCACTGCCCTGCTGGCTAGGCTGGGCAGTCTCAAGGTCAGTTGGGCAAGGAAGTTAGAAATGAGCTGTGCCCAGAAGTGTCATCGACGTGTCTTAGAGGCTGAGCCTGCCAAGTACATAGAATACGTGGGTTCTCCTGCCTTGTCCCTCCATCCTCATTGATGGCAAGTTTCAGCCTTTCCTCCCGGTAGCCATCAGCTACATGTAAGCTGTTTCTGCCTAGCCCCATGTAGTTACTGAGTTATGTCCCAGCTGAAAGACACAATTGGAGGGAAAACCCCTGTCACTGAGCCAAGCCACCTTGCCTGTGCTCTCTAATATGCAGCCCTCTGCATCCCAGGCAGGAAGCATAAACTGGAGGCCATAAACTTCGCGGGCTCACCTGCATGCTTATTTTATAATAGTAAGAAACAAAATGAACCATTGCTTTGCCACCCAGGTCACCACTCTTTCCTCCCCACCTCCCCAGCTTTCCTTGCACAGTAGTATAGATAACTACAGTCACAGATTCAGAGAAGCCCTTGGGACCAGGAATACATGGCCTCCCTTGGCACCCAGGACACCCCTGAAAATAGGTCACGTTTCTTAGATTTTGTTGGCAATGGTGTTAGTAGGTACAAAATTTACTTTAACATACAGAGATATTATGTGGCAAATGTGAAAACCAGGGTATGTTTGTGACTCTGGGATGTTCAAAATGTAGGATTTCTTAGAGCAGGGTGGAGCTACCATGTCGGGACAGTTTGTAAAATGATTAAGGTTGCTGCCTGCAGGGTGGCTGCTGTGATGTCTGAAGACCCTGTGACCTCCCAGCTTCCTGCTTTCTGCCTGTTCCTCTTCTCACAGCCCAAGTGGCCTCCCTGGATCATCAGCAAGTCTTACTCCTAGTTTCTAATAACTGAATCCCTGAGGTCCTGGATTTATGATTATCTATTTGGGATTTTTGCCAAGGGGCACATATTTTTGTAAAAATCTATTTAAGATTTCAGAGTACCTGATTTGAAACATGCAGATATCTGTAGTATGTGTCTGCTTAGGGGTGAGGAGTGAGACCTAGGGCCTCTCCTCTGGTCAGGGCTATGGGTCTGCTTTGTGGAACTTGCTTCCCTGTCTTCTTGGATGTAGGAGTCATAGCAGCTGTCCTGTAGTCTCTCTGAGCACTTAGCCTCCCATAGACTTGGAGAACACAGAAATCTAGCTTATTAGTCTTTTACATTAACAGCCAGGGAAACCCTGCCCTGACACTACGGGACCTGGGGAGTGATCCTGAGTACATCAGCCCTGCTGTAAGTGCCTTGTGTCCCACAGGTAGGGATGGTTATGTGTCCACTGCCTCTCCAGCGGTCTGTTACCCTTTCTGCGGATGCTGAAGGACTTCTGAAACATCCTGGCCACTACTCACACACTCCCTCTCGGTACCTGTAGGTATGACCTGGACGCTTGTGATATTCAGGAGAAGTACCCAGATCTGTTCCAGGTAAATCTGGAGGTGGAGGTGGAATCAAGAGACAGGCCCAGCCGAGAAGCTCCACCTTGGGAGAATACGAGCCTGCGGGGCCTGAACCCCAAGATTCTCTTTTCAAGCAGGGAAGAGCAGCAGGACATCCTGTCTAAGTTTGGTAAGCTATGCCCTGACTCTCTCAGTGTACTTAGATTTCTAGGAAAGATTTACCGGAACAGGTCCTTTCCCCCTGATTTGGGCACCACTTCCTGATCTGTGCTTTCCTAGGTGCTACTGAAGGTAGCAGAAACTCATTGTTTGATAAGGTGCAGCTATGGTACCAAGAAAGGTGACACATAACACTGTGATCCAGAGGCCTTTCATGGGTTCATTAGCCACACGAAATACCTGGGCCTGACATGGGCCCAGCAGGGAAATCTATTCTCTTGCTCTGCGAAAACAAACTCTAGAGCAGTTGTTCTCAGCCTGTCAGTCGTGACTCCTCCAGCAAACATCTGTCTCCAGAAATGTTCACATTACAATTCATAGCAGTAGCAAAATTCCAGTTACGAAGTAGCGACAAAAATCATTTTATGACTAGGGGTCACCACGACATGAGGAACTGTATTAAATGGTCACAGCATTAGGAAGGTTGAGAATCACTGCTGTAGAGTGAGATGCTGTTGCTCTCTCGGTACATGAGCCAGGAGCTGTGACTGGAAGGATTCTGATGTGGGAGTGTCATATATCAATCTGTTGATTTCATTGGTTAAGTTATAATAAACCAGCTGCTTGGCCTCATGGCTTGGAACATAGATGGGAGGAGTAAACAGAATAGAATTCTGGGCGGAAGAGGAAGTGAGGTCAGACTCTGCTCTGCTTACGGAGAGACCGGACAGCTCTGCTGGAGCAGAGACGCCATGCTCAGCTCTCCCAGGCAACTCCAACCCACGATGGACTTAGGCTAGAATCTTCCCGGTAAGTGCACCTTGGGGTGCTTACACACATCATTAGAAATGGGCTAGTCCAGGTGCGAGAATTAGCCTGTAAGGGCTAGAGTTCATGGGCCAAGCAGTTCTTTAAATGAATACAGTTTGTGTGTTGTTATTTCGGGCATGAGCTAGCCAAGCGGCCGGGGTGTTGGGGATGCAGCCCCGCTGCCGCTCTTATTTCAACAGGATTCCCTCCAGAGTTAAGTTCGCACCATAAGCTGACTCAGGTTATATGCTCTGGGGATGACAATGTAAATGCTCCATTGAGAGTGGGACAAGCAAGACCTGTGGCTTTCGGCATGGCTCTCCACTCAGCATAGGTGTCTCCTCTGTTTATGTCAACCCAGTTTCTACAAAAAGTGGACAGGCTGGGCTTGACTTGCTGCTTGCAGCTTCTTTATCATCTGGGTTTGTACATTTTGTATTTTTAATCTGCAGACAACTAAGTATTCTTAAAAGGAATATATATGTTTGTGTGTGTGTGTGTGTGTGTGTGTGTGTGTGTGTGTGTGTTCTGTGAGTATGCTGTGTGTGCTCATGGATGTGACACAGCATCTGAATAGAAGGATGGTGGGAATCTGCCTGCAGCCAGACCTTGTTTTCAAGGAACTGGTACGGGTGTCCCTATGGCCTACCTGCCCTGTTGCTCTGGCTGTACCTTGCCCAGTGTTGTGCCTGGCACAGGTAGCCTGATGCCAGCCTTTTCCTGGCAGGGAAGCCAGAGCTACCCCGGCAGCCGGGCTCCACAGCTCAGTATGACGCTGAGGCAGGGTCTCCGGAGGCTGAGATCACAGAGTCGGACTCACCGCAGAGCAGCAGCACGGACACCAACCACTTTCTTCACACGCTGGATTGGCAGGGTAGGCATAGGGCACAGCTAATCCTTCATCCTTCCTTGGGGACCAGTCTGTCCAATGCCCCTGAACTCACTTGTCACCACTAACTTTTGACATCAGGTTCTATTAACCACACAGTTGAGCATTCTGCAAGGGCCATATGCTAAGGTCAAGTACTTAGATTAAACTTCGTAGGGACAAGCAGAGTTGAGGTATCCTTAGAGGGACTGCAGATCCTACACTTTGGCCTGCTGTGGGAGGAATTGTGTTGGTGAGGACCAAACCCCAGGCCTCATGCATGTCTGAAAATCCTCTACAACTGAGCTACACATTTAGCTGTGTGCCTGGCACATAAATTAAGAACAGTTTGTATATTCTTTTATGATAGCAATAGACACACATACATGTATATGCCCATAAAGCCTGAGGTATCAACTTCATTATTGATTTGAAATTATTTACTGACCAAGTCTCTGTACACATAGTCTTATTAGCAGACCCAGAGGTTCTTAAGAAGCAGAGAAGGGGCCTCAGTAGAAGGATAAACTGAACCATGGTGGTTGATCACTTCTCCATTTGGGAGTTACATTATGTTTTACTGCCTCTAGTTTCTGCTGAGCTTCTTAGACCCTTCTTCATATCTTATAGCCTAGTTATTACAACTAAATACCTAGGATCTTCACCTTGACCATTCGCCTCCTGGACATATCCCAGGGTGTAGCACTGCCACTCACTCAGCAAATGACATTTCCCCTAAGAAATGCTATGGTATGTCCCCTGCTAGGTTGTGATTTACCAAGGCTATCCATAGAGATGGAGAGGCTAGCAGGTGGACCTCTTTGAAGTTGGGCTCTGGGGAAATGGAAGAAAAATCCTAGAACCTTGGCTTCTTTGCTGTTGGATAGAAGCCAGTATTGTGGTTCCAGGGTGGGTGGTCTGTGAATTTTAAGCCTCAAGGTATGTGCTCTGACGCCCAAGGTTGGCCACAGGGGTGGGCATGAAGATCCTGGTATTGGCTGTGTGGTTGCAACCTGGGCCCTACTGAGGCTTCTGGTTATGTCAGCTTTTTCTGCTCTCTTACAGCTACCCCAGCATGTGAGTCAATCAACCGATGGTTTTCTTTCCACAGAGGAAAAAGAACCAGAGACTGGTGCAGATAATACCTCTCCTAAGGAGAGTCAGTCTGTCCTGATTGCAGACAGAGATGGAAGTGAAATGTCAGATGAAGAAGAGCCTCCATTCCCCAGTGAAGAGAGGGAGCCAGGGTCTGGAGAAGACACACCAAGGCTGGCAGCTGGGACCAGACAGCAAGATTTAATATTTGATGTGGGCATGCCTGCTGCCCAACAGGACCCTGCACCGCAGGAAGAGGGTGTGGATCTCCTGGGCCTGCACTCTGAGGGTGACTCAGTGCCTGCTGCCCCCTTGCAGACTTGCAGGGTCCCCTCCAGCAACACTGACCTGTTGAGCTGCCTTCTTGAGCCATCTGATGCTGCTCAAATGGGAACTCCTGGTGACCTGCTTGGTGGTGAGGCTCCTCTGCTTCTGGCAAGCCCAGTTTTTCTTCTTGGGGTACAGAACACCCTACAAGGACACTGGTGTACATTTCAGTTATGCATAAAATTGGTTCCATAGTAATGAATCAGGGTTAACCATTCCTGCCATGTAGAAAAAGGATCTTCACTTATATTGACATCTGGAGGGGGGAAACTGCCTTCTGGAGAAATTGCTCGTGGCTACATCAGTTCCTACTCATAAGCCAAGATTGCCTGCTTTGGCTTCAGGGGTGATGCTCTGTCCATGGGAGAGTCCTAAGCTGTGGGGCATTAGGGCGGGGGGCCATGTATCCCCAGGTAGGCTGCTGAATGGTCTGAGTGCATATGTTGAGGAAAGTAGAGACCTCAGAGCAGGGCTCCTAGGATACAGGCTAAGGTATAATGCTTGTCCCTGCCCCCCTCTGTTTCCTAGTGGACCCATTTGACCAACTCCTACTGTCATCCAACTCAGATGCCCAGCCCTGCTCCAAGCCTGATCTTTTTGGAGAATTTCTCAATCCTGACTCTGTAGCTTCCTCAGCTGCCTTCCCATCCACCCACAGTGCCCCGCCCCCATCCTCCAGCACTACTTTCCTGCACCTAGGTGAGTATGGCCATGATGACTATTACATAGAAGCCACAGGCTTGTGCTTGGAAGGGCCTAGGAACTCCTACTTCCTACAGGCCCCTGGGGATAGTGCTCAGGGATAGATCAGTGGGCAACAGGGCCTTCTGTCTACTGCAGCTATGGTGTAATGGGGCTAGCATACCCCTTGGTGACTTTCCCAAAGTCGAGGGCATCTCAAAGCCTGACAGGACACATTGGTGTCTTTTTCTCATCTCTTTAAGTTGTGTTTTCAAATTTTAACTGTCTCTTCAAATCTGGGACAGGTTCCACCGCTGTTTACAGGCCTTCTTAGTGGGCATTTCTCTGACTCTGGAATTGTGGCTGTGACTTTAGGAATAGGCAACAAGACGTATAAAGGCTTGTGTGTGTGTGTGTTGGAGCAGCAGGCATGGCCCATTTAGACAGAAGTTGGGGTCTGGGAAAGGAGAGGCCAGGCTCTCACTCTAGCCAAATCTTGACGAGAAAGCTTAGTTCTTTTTCCTCACAGAGTCGATGGTCTACTAGGGTATGTTCCAGAGGACAACTGACTGCCCTGAATGCCTTGTGGTGGAAAGTGTGACATATGACTGTGCCATGCTGGGGTGGATGCTTGACAAGCAGAGGGCACAAGGACCAGTTCCAGATTTTAGGGAGTTTTTGAACATGGTTGTGAGCCCCTTACTCATCATGGGCTATGTATGTTAGGTTTAGAGAAAGGCAGAAAGGCTCTGAGTGCCCTTTCAGAAAGGCAGTATACAAGTGTTGTTATCACTGCCCTGTGAAGATGTTGTCTGATCAGCCTAGTGGCTATCTGCTACATCCTCAGGACTATCTAGCCCAGCCAGTTCCGAGTACCAATCCTTTGAGTTCACAATACCAGCTACCAGGTGTCTGAGCAAGGCATGGCCTCAACTGCTTAGCCATACTGGTCCCCTGAGTTGTTTGCTGGACCAGTAGGTTGCCTTCTGCTTGTGTCTGGAGGTGAGAGAGGTTGCCAAGCATCATGTGAAGTGAGACAGCACATACACCAAACCTTGCTTTTCTCTGGCTCCTTCCAGGGGATCTCAAAGCAGAGCCCAACAAGGTGATAGCTTCATCAAGCCACCCAGATCTGCTCGGAGGATGGGATACCTGGGCTGAGACTGCTATGCCCGGTCCGGCCTCCATGCCAGTACCAGAAGGTATGACCATGGGCCCCACTGTTAGCTGGGCTCTCAAGATGATTACTGTGGACATGGAGTCTCCACATGCCCTTTTGAGAAGAGGATGAAGAGGGCTTGCTTGCCTTCCAGTCAGCCCAACGTGTGGTGACCACAGAATTCTCTGTTGTTTGTTCGATGGGAACACAGACACTCGATAATTGCTTCATACTTTTGAGTACAGTCGTGTCTGGTCCTCCTGCTCTTCCATGCTGTTCCTTTTTCGTGAAGGCAAATATGTTTCGGAGCATACTTCCATGCTTGTGTGTAATTGATTGCCCTGTTTGTTTGCCCACACTTTACCCTCATGTTTTTCTGTGTTCTCTGAAGGACCCTTAGAAAGACTGTCATGTGTGCCACGGTCCCTGTGGGTAACGTGGATTACAAGGAGTAGTTCATATTTGTGAATATCCATCTGATCTTTTTGTGCACCTTGCTGACATGACACATTCTGATGCAATAGTTCTGTTTGCAAAGTCTTTGACCCACATCCCCCTTTGAATACTATTTCCTCAGTTTATTTGCTCAGGAACAAGAATTTCTATCTTTTGTTTCTCATCAGAGTTATATTATAAATTTAAAACATTTTTCTAGTTTAGTAAGCATCTTTTAAAAGTTGTACATTTATTTTAATGTGTGTATGAGTTGGCACGTGTGTCAGAATGCCGTTGTAGAAATCCCAGGACAATCTGTGGGGCTCAGGTCTCTCCTGTCATGTGAATTCCAGGGATCAAATCAAGTCATTAGGATTGGCAACAAGTCTCTTCACTTGCTGAGCCACTTGTTAGCCCCTGTAGGTGCTTTCAGTTTGCATTTCTTTATTAAAGATGGGGTTGACTATTACTTTGTATGCTTTTGGTTGTGGGGTATTTTTGTTTTTGTTTTAGACAGGATTATTTCATGTTCTTTATTACTCCCTTTTTACATTGGGAATTTTTTAAAAAAATTTTAAATTTAATTTTTAAAAAGGCTTCTACATGGTGTTTATTTTTAGGGGAATGCAGGGGAGAGTGTGCCTGTCATGGCAGGCATGCAGAGATCAGAAGACAACTTGGGTAACTCCATTCTCTGTTTTTACTATCCAGGCCCCAGGGATTGTAATGTATTAGTGATTGAACTCACGATATTAGGCTTGGCAGCAAATGCCTATACCAACTATGCCATCTAGCCAGCTCATATTTTTTAATTATTATATGCATGTATTTGTATGTGAGTGTGGATTTACACCTGCTATATAGCACGTGTGCATGCCATGGCACACATTTGGTGATCAGAGAACAACTTTTTGGAATCATTTCTTTCCACCTTGTTGAGGCAGGGTCTCTCATTTCTGCTGCACATACTGGCTTGCAAACTTCTAAGCAATTTTCCTGACTCTACTTCCTGGTCACCAAGTGCCAGGATTACAGATGCATATATCTATATCCAGCTTTTTCACAGGGATCAGTCTCAGGTCATCAGGCTTACATAGCAAGTAAAAACCTACTGAGCCACAATAGTTTTGTTTTGTTTTGAGACAGGATCTTACTGTGTAGCTCTGGCTATCCAGGAACTCACTAGACCAGACTGGCCTCGAAAGCAATAGATATCTGCCTGCTCTTCAGAGATAACTCTCATTCTTTTAAGGATTATTTTTTATGGGTGCAAATGTTATTACATGGGTGCTGGGATCTGAACTTGGGTCCTCATGATTTATTTATTTATTGTCTTTCACATCATGCATCTCGATCCCATTTACCTCTCCACATCTGCATATCTGCCCTCTGCCCTTGCAACTCCTCCAAAATTAAAATTTAAGATTTAAAAAAAAAAAGTCATGTCATGGAAGCTGTAGTGTGCCACAGTGAGTTATACAGTATACCCTTTTATCCATGTGTCTTTACTCAACAAGCGCTTTCAGCCTCCAAGCCATCTGTCCATCTCCATAGCCATCATTTTTAATGACTAGATAATATTTTGAGTAGTTACACAATAATTATTTCAAGATGTTAGGCTTAGACTAGTCTCAAATTTACATTATTATATCATAAAGGAAGTCACATTTTAGATATATTATAAAAAGTAGTGCTATGAAGTCAAAACAATGAGGACGTTTTCTGGCTCTTGGTACCAAATGTTCAGTGATTTCCATGAGGAACAATATGGATGCTGGTGCTAGCCACTGTGCCAGGTGTGCCTGTGTGTTCTGCTCACTGTCCTTAAAGAATTACCAAACCTTGAGTGGGGATCAGGGACTTTGGAACCCTGTTATTCATTCTATACTGTGCAATTCTAATGGCCTTAATCCTTTTTCCAGGTCCCCTCTTCTCTTCTGGAGGTCACCCAGGCCCACCAGGTCACCACCCCAGCCAAACCAAGTCTCAGAGCCTAGACCCATTTGCTGATCTCAGTGATCTCAGCTCTAGCCTCCAAGGTAATGAGGGGCCAACCCTATGTGCCAAGAGGCTCATTTTCACCTTCTACTACTGTGTCCAGGGACCCTGGGAGCTTGTGTCTGCTTCCATTCTGAATGCCCACTGACTGAAAGACTAAAAATGGGAGTTGCTAGAACTAATGATCCTCATGGCCATGCAGTGAGTGCACCAGCTGACTTCAGGATTATAGTGTGTCCAGGAAGTAAGGACAGTCTAGGAGTTGATGTGGCTCTGCTGAGTACTGGTGTAGCATCAGCATGCACTTGATAAGGGTCGGTCACCTCTTGCCGCATCCATGCCTGTCTTGGGGCTGACTCACATTTGTGTCTCCTGTCTTCACAAGCTGAATTGTACAGATAATGTCTCACTCAGGTTTGCTTTCTCAGGTGAATCTCCCTAGGACTCCTGGCTCCTTGGTCAGTACCTCTTCTTCATAGCTTCTGAGACGGGAAGTACACTAAGCTATATAGGTGAGGCATGTAGGATATTGTCAGGATGCTTGTTGGCAGGTCACTTGCTTGCTCTGGCTTCTGTCTCAGGTAGTAGTGATGTCACTGACTGAAGCATGGCTGGCCATAGCTCAGCTGTAGCACCACACTGGGCACCTGACATCCTCATTTCTAGTTCCTTATCCTGTGACTCATTGTTTCCAGAACTGATGTTCTGGGTGGACCCTTGTCTGCCCCTTCTCCTCCTCTCTGACTTCACTCTGTTCTTAGGTTGAATGGGGAGTTCTTCTCTTAATCATGCTGTTAACATCCTTTGTGCTATTTTTTTTCTTAATGGTCTCCATTTTTTTTTCCAAATTGTACTATATTTCTTGGATCTTCTAGGAGTTTCTGCCTGATATCTTTGTTTTTCCTCTCCCTATGTGGATTTGGGGTTGATGCGTCTGAACACAGGGTAGGGCTGTAGGCATCTTCTTAAGAAAAGTGTTTGCCTTCTGAAAGGTAAGGAGACCTGTCTGGTCCTGTACAGAGCTAGCCCTCAGCTCTTTTACACCCTGGGAAACAGCAGCCCTAAAGGAAACCAGGCTGAAAACTCAGCAAGCCCAAGTCACAAATGAAAATGCAATATATACCATTCATCACAATGGCTGCTTGACTGTCCTAGGCCATACTTGGTAGCACAGAGTGCAGGTTCCTCCAACAGGATAAAAGAATTGAAATCACAGTGTATTCTGGCCTTCAGAAAATCAGTGATGGTAAGAATACAAAGGAAAACGGTGCTTTAAATACCACATGTGTCAGCAGGGAGGCCCAGGAAATAGCCGTGTTTCACTGCAACAAGGGGAATACCTTGCATCTTAGAGGGACCTGGCACATAACAGCTGGAGGTGCTAGAGTGTGTAGGTTACATGCTCTAGAAAAGATGAACTAGTGGGCTTTAATTCCAGTACTTGGGAGGCAGGAGCAGGTGGATCTCTGAATTTGAGACCATCCTGGTCTATAGAGAGTGTTGCAGGACTACACAGAGAAAGATGGAATATGTCGTCATGACAAATGACACCTCAAGGGGTTTGAGAAAGAAGATCAAAATCTATAGCAATCTGGAAAAGGGAAAAAAATGTTTTTAATAAATGAAACAGGGACTGGGAATTTATGTCACTTAATAAAATGCATGCCTACGGTATACAAGACCTTGGTTTTAAACTCTAGTACCAAATCAAGTGTAGTGGTGGTACACTTATAATTCCAACACTTGGAAGTAGAGGCAGAAGAATCAGAGAAGTATAAGGTTGTCTTTGGTTGCATAAATGAGTTGAAGGCTAGCCTGAACTATTTGAGATTCTTGCTCAATAATGAAAGAATCAATGAAACAAAATGTTGCTTCTTTGAAAGTAGCAGTAAAAAATTTATGAGACTGACCAAAAAGGAACCATAGCACACGCCATCAGTGTCGGGAATGGTCAGGATCTGTAGGGATCCAGAAGGTGGTGAAAGAATAAAGTCAAGTGCTAGGAGGGAAACTGGCAGCATCCAGATATGCAGGTACCTCACAGGTAGCCACTGCCAAACTCCAGGCATGAAGCAGGGCATTTGAATAGTTTGTCACTATGAAGAATGAATTAAAAGGGAACTCCCCAGCCTCCAATGAGTTCACTGGAGAATTTTACCAAATGTTTATATGACCAGTTCCACATAATCTTTTAGAAAGCTTAGAAGAGAGGAAACTGACTTTCCAAAGTGCATATGCCAAATTAGACAGTTCAGGAAAGAAAGCTGTTGAAATATGGAGCGGCGGGGCTGCGTCCCCAACACCCCGGCCGCTTGGCTAGCTCATGCCTGAAATAACAACACACAAACTGTATTCATTTAAGAACTGCTTGGCTTATGAACTCTAACCCTTACAGGCTAATTCTCGTACCTGGACTAGCCCATTTCTAATGATGTGTGTAAGCACCCCAAGGTGCGCTTACCGGAAAGATTCTAGCCTAAGTCCATCGTGGGTTGCAGCTGCCTGGGAGAGCTGAGCATGGCGTCTCTGCTCCAGCAGAGCTGTCGGGTCTCTCCGGGAGCAGAGCAGAGTCTGACCTCACTTCCTCTTCCGCCCAGAATTCTATTCTGTTTACTCCTCCCATCTATGTTCCAAGCTGAGGCCAAGCAGTTGGTTTATTATAACTTAACCAATGAAATCAACAGATTGATATATGACACTCCCACATCACTTCCCCTTTTTCTGTTTAAAAAAAAAAAAAAAAAAAGAAGGCTTTAACTTAACATCCAAAGCTCTAGAAATGACAGAGACATCTCGCTGCCTGGACAGTCACCCAAAGTTCCTCTGTACCGTTGGGGCATCCATCTTCGGCCTACAGGCCCATAGTTTCCAGCAGACATTTCCACAAAGCAGGAAATTTCAAAGGCAGTCACTATCTGCTTGTCCTGAAGAATGTCTTGCAGACTCTTTCATGAAGCAGGAACCCCGAAAGATCATCTCACCTTTAGGCAAGTTCAGCAGTCCTCTCTCTGCGGGTTCTCTGTGTCCAGTTTATGCAATAGTCCAGGCAAGAGCAGTTTCTTGCCAAATGGCTATCAAACTCCATAAGGATCCTCTTCGATGCCCATCTTCCTCTTGAAGTAGATTGGTGATGCCAGGAGCAGAGTGTCTCATTGTCATGAGAAGTCCTAAGTTATTAAAACATTTAAAATGCCATATTCTATAATCTTTGAAAAATATGAAGAATGCCTATCTAAAATATATGTATGCACATCTAGAAAATCTTAACTAACATGACTACAAACTTAACTATTATTAATGATTATTCATTAACAACTTATATTTCCTAATTATACATTACATTTTAAAATGAACTACACAACACAATACCTTAATCAAGATCAAAAATGCATATAACAAAATTGACCTTAAAATCCATACCAATGCAAATTATTCATATCTATATCATATCCCCCTTTAAATGTAAAAGAACATTTGTAAACAATATTTGGGAACATGGGCGTAGTTTTTTCTCTCCAAACTGCTTCCTGCTGAATGGGGGCGCTGTTAATTAGGTCTTTTGTGGTATAACCTGTGTGCTAGTTTCATCTCAGTTGGAAGTTGAGCGAAGCAATTTTTTGAAGGTATTCACAGCAACCGTTCAGGAGGGCGTGGTCCATCATACCATATCGGAATAGAAGAAATGAACAGGGTCTCATCCTCTGTGAAAACAAAATAAGAAACTCCTTTTGAAAGCATCACGTCCTTAGATCCAAATATCAAAGCCAAGGCATTAAAATCTCTACGTTGGATTAGTTCAGCAGCATTTATAAACAAATATCTTTTAGCATCTGTTGCTCCTTCCTCAGCATTCAAACAATTCAAAGAGAGCATAATAGCATACAGTATCAAGATTCTCTGTGTATTTTCCATCTTTGTGAGCTTTATTTTAACCTCTATTAAGTTTATTTTTACTTTCATTTTATATTCTCTGTATCTCTGTCCTGGAATAACTCTGTAGACCAGGCTGTCCTTGAACTCTCAGAGATCTGCCTGTCTCTGCCTCCCAGGCATTGGGATTAAAGGTGTTTGCTACCACACCTTGAACTCACAGAGATCTGTTTGTCTCTGCCTTCTAGGCACTGGGATTAAAGGCGTGTACTACCACACACAACTTCTCTTTTTCTTACTTTTTTTTAAGAACTTTTAACTTTTAGCTTGCATATATTTTTAACACACTGTAAATCATTTAAACATTTTCTTTATCTTTGAATCTCTTTACTGTATCTCTCTCTGTTTTTCTGACCACAGGAGCCTTTAAATTACTGAGCAATATGAGTAGGATTAAAGCCGTGGCTTTGCCAGCTAGATCCAGTCCATTCCTTAGCTTTCCAGCCTCATGGCGGAGATACAGGCTGTAGCCGCGTTTATAGGCACAATTCTATGGCGTTTCAAGGTCCCTGCCAGCAAGCGAGCTACAACAGACAACAGTCAAGTCCTCTCTCTGTAGCTGGCCCTCCTGCCTCAGTCAGAGTTTGCCCTGGCAGGACGGCCCAGAAAGCCGGCATTTTTAAACAGCACAACTTTTTTCCTGCTACGGCTGAAAACCGAAAAGCATGCGTTCAGCTTTTCACCAACACCGTTTAAGTGTTTCGTGGCAGGACCTCTTAATGAGCTGCAGGGTTTTGCAGCTGAAGCTGAGTCAGGAAGCCTCTCTTAGATGAGAGCGCTTGCTTGCCTCTAGCAAGCGGAGCAGACCCAAGAAATTTCTGCTACCAAGAAAACATGCTTCACTCCATTCTTTCCCAAGCTTTCTCAGGCTTTTTGTGGATTCAGTTAGCCACACGTCTGGGCGCCATCTGTTGAAATAGGAGCGGCGGGGCTGCGTCCCCAACACCCCGGCCGCTTGGCTAGCTCATGCCCGAAATAACAACACACAAACTGTATTCATTTAAGAACTGCTTGGCCCATGAACTCTAGCCCTTACAGGCTAATTCTCGCACCTGGACTAGCCCATTTCTAATGATGTGTGTAAGCACCCCAAGGTGCGCTTACCGGGAAGATTCTAGCCTCCGTCCATCATGGTGTCTCTGCTCCAGAAAGCAGAGCTGTTGAGTCTCAGGGAGCAGAGCAGAGTCTGACCTCACTTCCTCTTCCGCCCAGAATTCTTTTCTGTTTATTCCGCCCACCTATCTTTTAACCTATCAGGGCCAGCAGTTTCTTTATTGCTCAGCCAATGAAATCAACAGATTGATATGACACTCCCACATCAGAAAGCCTCAAGCCACCTCCTTCAAGACAGACATGGACCCTTACAACATTAGGGCACAGAATTTTTCAGAGGATTAAAGGGCAGCAACTACCACTAAGTGGGGCGTATTCAGGGAGCACCAATCTGATCTGCCTTTCCAGAGTCAGAGAGTAGCATCTACCATGTTTATCAGCCAAAGAACAACGCCATGCTCTTACCAGTGCTTCTGATAGGATGATTGTTAAAACCCGGCAGCAGCCAAGTGGTGGTAATGCACTTTTGTAAATGGAGACTGCACTTTAGTTTTCCAGCCTCTCAGAATCAAATTATCACACACAGACTACATTAATTACAACACTGTTGATCAGTGGCTCAGGCGTATTTTTGTCTAGCTTTTACATCTTAAATTAACCCATTTCTATTAATCTGTGTATCACCATGAGGCTGTGGCCCACCAGTAAGGTTCCAGCGTCTTAAGCAGCTACATGACATCTCCCTGACTCTGCCTTCTTTCTCCCTGCATTCAGTTTAGTTACTCCCGCCCTCCCACCCTCCACCTCCACCCCCCCACCCCCCGCTGTCTAGCTCTATTCTGCCCTGCCATACACCAAAGCAGCTTTATTAACCAATGGTAATAGAACATATTCACAGTATTCAGAGGAGAATCCCACGAATCCCACGTCACACCTTTAATCCCAGCACTCAGGAGGGCAGATCTCTGTGAGTTCAAGGACAGCCTGGTCTAGAGTGAGTTCCAGAACAGCCAAGTCATTATACAGAAAGACCCAGTCTCAAAAAAAAAAAACAGCATCAAATGATGAGAGTATCTTCAGAGCAGGCACACAAATTGTATCAGATATGACATACTATGAAGGACTCTTGAACCCAGGAGCAGCACAGATGCCCCCATACTAGTCTACTTATTAAGAGACCCAACTAATAACCTGAGACAAGAAGTAGAAATTACATATGATAGAAGGGAAAGAATTAAATTTTTCCTGTTTGCAGGTAGCATAATTGCTTGTCAGATCAGAGGAAATTTACAAGGCTTAGAACTTTAAGTTAAAAGTTCACAATACCTAAGATCACCAAATGGTAGTCTGTTGCTGTTAAGTTTACTAGGACAGCTCAAGGAGACCAAAATTATATAACTATACAACACTATGTATAGTTGATTTTTTGTAAAGCTTTAGACCTGGCAGAGATAGAGGCTTATTTATAGCTGTAATCCCAGCACTCAGGAAGTTGGGGTTGGAGTTCAAACCTTGGCTACATGAGACCAAGTCTCAAAACAGCAATACAAGAGCCTTTAAATATAAACAGAAGGAAACAGTGCCAGTGTGGTGGAACTGCAGTAAAAACATGGCAGTTGAGATTGACAGAGAGATACCAAATGTTTGTAGATTACAAGATTGGCTCACCAGAGATACCCCTTTGCCTTATATTAATTGATCTGTACATCTAATGTTCTTTCTACCAAAATCACAGCAAAGATTTTTGTAGACTAGCCCAGTTCATTGTCACATATACTTGGGAAAGCAAATAGACTAGTATTGCTAACTGGGGTCAGCCTCCCGTCAGCACCAAGGTATGCAACAACAACAACAAAATCCATGAATGCAGTGAGAACTGAACTTATCTATCTAAAAGGGAAATCAGCACACGCTTTCTGGTGGTAACCCCCTCTTAGTCTTCATCTTGAAAAAATTCTCTCAAAATCTCTCGCGCACCTCTACACAGCTCTATATAGCTCCCTAATAAGCTCTGCATAGGCTCCTCATTGCTCTACACAGCAGCTTCTCTCTCCACAGCCAAACCCTGCACAACTGTGTTACATTTTCAGGGCCTGACCCAGTCTCATAACACAAGATAAGTCACACGGCTTTCTCAGGCTGGGGAAGTCACATTGACTGGCCAGTGAGAAACCCTTGGCCTTGCACTTAGCACTTAGGAATCCCAGACAGAAAATGACATTAAAATTCAGGACTTAACAGTAGCAATTAGTTGTCTGACCCCTGAGTCCTGTAACATAAACTGAGGCTGAGAGTATGCTCAGAAAGCCCATTGCTGAGAAAGTCATGTCTACTAAAGTTGCTTCAGTCTCTGGCCTTGAATAAGCAATAAACACCTGGGAATTCATCCTTGTGTATTCTCTGCAGGGGCAGCTAGTCTGTTTTGCATTTTTTTCTGAAGTCTAAAATTAAATATCATTGTGACTAAGAATACTATTACTTTCCTATGTCAGTCTGAATAATGAAAAATATCTTAGTATTTCTATTCATCAAAATTATACAGTTTAGGCAGAAGTCATATTCCAGATCATTCACAGCTACGTGTTTCCAGTAAATGTACTAGATAGATGAGACAGACTCACAAGCAGTGGGGAAACCCCCATAGCTGCTATTAGGAGGAATGTGGCAGCACACGAGATAATTACAGACAGAAACGGCTGGTCATTTACAGTCCAGCAGGGCTCCCCATCAGAGCGTCATTCGTCTAGTGAGTTGGCCTCGCTGAACACTAGTTGTCACCTGCTGTATGCTCCCTCGGCCTCTGGTAAGCCACTGCTGCCATTTATTTGAAAAAGCAGATAGACAAGAATGCTTGGGGCTTGTTGTAGTTGAGAGTAGTCTAGAAGCCCCACCCTGGCTTTGAGGTACACTGTCTGGCCATAGAAACCAAGACTGGTGTTGGCAAAAGGCTAGGCACCAATGCATGGCAGAGGGGACCCAGGTATACACCCAGGGAAGACAAAGGTGTGTGAAAGTTTTTACAGATGGAACTAGAGTCATTGGACTTGTACAGGCAAGAAAAGGAGCCTCGGCTATATACTGAGCCTCAGCCCGTTGCAGATGGAATATAAGGCAGAGCGGCTCTACTAGCAAAAGACAGCGCAGACCTGAGACCTTCAACTGTGGAAAGACCAAGCAAAATGTGGGAAGAAAACATTTCAAAAACTATTTGACAAAGGACTCTTATATAGAATATATAACTAATGGAAAAACAAAAGGTAATCCGGTGGAGAAATGAGAAGAGGTAGGGAGGTTCCATCAGCAGTAATTCTGGCACACCAATAAGCACATGAGACAGTGTTGAGTCAGCTGCCAGAAGTTTTAGGCAGCAGCCATGCATCACCACGGATCATAGAAACTGGGTTTATAATATATATACACACTTGTAAGGATGTGAAATGATACAGCTACTCTTGGTCTGTTTCTTACAGGAGTAAACATGCAGACACCATAGGACCCCAATGTTTATCCCAGAGAAATGGGCTTATATTTCTACAAAGAAAAATCAAACAAGTGTTCAGAGAAGAGCTGTTGGTAATAGCCAAGGAAATAAACTCTGAATAAATGTTCTTGTATGGAAGAAGGTTAAACAAACAGCAGTCTCTTTCATACTGTGAAATATTCCTTGGCAATAAAAAGGCTGCAGGAGTTTGAATCAGCTGATCACATTAACAGTCAGTCAGAAAACAGAGAAAGATGAATGCATGCACGCTAATACTTAGCTTACCTTTTCTGTTCCATGCAGCCCAGGATCCTCTGCCCACGGAATGAGCTCACAATTAAGATGGATTTTCACACATCAATTGAAAGTCTTTCAAGACAGCTAGGAGTACATAGAGAAACTCTGTCAGGGGCAGGGCGGGGAGATAATCCCCCACAGACATGCCCAGGGGTCATCTCCTGGGTGATATTAGATACTGACAAATAACAACAACCTTCACAGAGGAACTTCACAGCTGGGGACATTCTTTGAAGGTGCTCTAGGCTTGGCAGGAGTCTAGCGACTTCTCTGAGTTCAGTTATTTCACAGAGAGTTAAAAAATCAGCCCCACATTTGAGAAGCTTTCTGAGGAAGTGTCCACACAATGGGACAGCTCCATAGAACACTCAACACATGGGGATATCAAGCTTGTGTGGGTGTGCATGTAGAGTATCCTGGCATCTAGAAGTGTTTGAGCAACACACGTGTATATCCCTGGTTACTCAGGGCTATCTACTTGTTGAGTAGAGCAGATCAACTAAGTGACAGCAGTTTGTCCTCAGCCACAGAAGAAGCAACTCACCATTTGGCTAAGTGACTTATAAGTGTCCTGTGGTGTTTCCTCAGGCCTGCCTGCTGGACTTCCTACAGGGGCCTTTGCTACCACATCAGCCTCCATTCCCAAAAGCAGCAGCTCCTGGCAGACAAGTCGTCCCACAGCCCCAGGAACCTCATGGACCCCCCAGGCCAAGCCAGCCCCCAGAGCCTCTGAACAGCTAAGGTCTCACTTTAGTGTGATTGGAGCTCGAGAGGAGAGAGGTGTCCGTGTGCCCAGCTTTGGTAAGTCCTGTGTCTGTCTGGTGATTTAGACAACTACCTACAGGTTTGTGAGTAGAGCATTCTATTTCTCCCCTCAGAGCCAGCTAAGACAGTTGTATTTATATTGCTCACTGAGACTGCCCCAAGAAAGTAGATTTGGATTTATGTGCTAGTGTCTTCAGACCTAGCCTTTCTCCTAATTCTCACTGGCCTTTAACCAGTGGCCTTGAAGCCATGTTTTTCTTCTTTTCTGTCCAGGTATCAGGACAGCTCATACTCAAGGAGAAAGGTAAAAGCAGGCAGAATGTCTATAAAAATGTCTTTTTTTTTTTTGCCTAGCCCAAAAGCCAAAAGTCTCAGAAAATGATTTTGAAGATCTGCTGCCTAATCAAGGTTTCTCCAAATCTGACAAGAAGGGGCCAAAGACCATGGCTGAGATGCGGAAACAGGACCTAGCCAGAGACACAGACCCATTAAAGTTGAAGGTGGGTACCCTCAGGGACCAGACCACACTGTGAAGTTCATTGTCTCCAGTCAGACTCTCTGTGTGAGAACCTAGCACCTGGAGGCCCCTGGAATAGGACATAGAGGAGTGTGGCATGTGTAGCCATACTCCCGGGCAGTCTGATATATACTTGATATTTGCATTTCATAGTGCTACTCATGGTACTGAGATCAGTGAGGGGAGGGAAGCAAGCACCACACAGGACTTCTAGTCCTCTGGTCATGTTTGACCTTGGCCTTGAGCTGAAGAGGGCATAGCTCATACCTGTACCCATCCAAACCAAGGTTTATTTGACTTTTGTTTTGTGGGTTTTGGGGTTTTTTGTTGTTGTTTATTTGTTTGTTTTTTTGTTTGGTTTTGTTTTTGTTTTTGTTTGTTTGTTTGTTTTTTCAAAACAGGGTTTCTCTGTGTAACAGCTCTCTGACTGTCCAGGAACTCACTCTGTAGACCAGGCTAGCCACAAACTCATAGAGATCTTCCTGCCTCTGCCTCCCAAGTGTTGGGATTAAAGGCATGCACCACCACCACCCTGCTTATTTGGCTTTTAAGGACTGCGATTTGTTTGGGTTTTTGGTTCTGACCTGGGGCACTCACTGTGCAGTAAGAAGGAATCAGCATAGTACAGTGGTCAGGTTGTTCCACTCTACATATTAAATGTAACTATTTAAGTTTGTGTGGTGATCAGTTTTAGGGTACAGTGAAGCCGTTTCCTTTCAAACTACCTGAAAGGTTGCCAGGGACCCAATTGTCCTCTTTGAACCTTGTGCATCGGTCAGGCGGCTGTATTGAGGGATTAGGGTTTTGTCTTTGTATATGGCTGAAAAGGGTCTCAGTTCTGTCCTAGATGTGTAGCTTGACCCACCTGGTCTGTATGATCTGGGGTGGGCCCAGTGCTGAAAGAGGGGCTAGGTGAGTAGGGTGGAGCCATGGCTTCCCTGCTCTCCTATAGGAATAAAGAGAGAGGTACCAAACCATGTTTTCAGGGGGCTTTCAGAGAAGCTTGCTCCCCAGCCTGCAGGTTGTCTTTCCCTTTAGGACCCAGGACCATTGAAATGATGCCCCCACCCTCTCCAGCATCTGAATATCCCTCAGTACTTGCTTTGCTGCTTACGTTGATTTTCCCACCCCACAATCCACATAGCAGGGAGGGAGGTCTCCTAAATTACAGCTTCTTCCTGAGGTTCTTTATGCACTGGTGTCTGCAGCTTTTGGAGTGGATTGAAGGCAAGGAGAGGAACATCCGTGCACTGCTGTCCACGCTGCACACAGTACTGTGGGATGGGGAGAGCCGCTGGACACCTGTGAGTATGGCTGACCTGGTGACTCCAGAGCAGGTGAAGAAGCAGTACCGCCGAGCAGTGCTGGTAGTGCATCCAGATAAAGTAAGTGTATGGAGGGGGCTTCTGGACCCTGTGCTTGTCTCTCGTCCTGTAGGAGCCTTTTCCCTGCTGGCTATATCGCATGAAAGGTGCTGGTAGGGAGTGGGCTGAGTGGTCAGTCTGGCTCTCCCTCTGTTGCCCACAGGCCACTGGGCAGCCATACGAGCAGTATGCCAAGATGATCTTCATGGAGCTGAATGATGCATGGTCTGAGTTTGAGAACCAGGGCTCAAGGCCTCTCTTCTGAGGCCAGTGATTGCTGTGACTGCAAGAGCTGCTCATGACGCCCGAATGCTGCTGGCCTGACTGATGCACAGATGGGACCATAGCAGGTGTGGCAGGTGATGCGGCCCCAGGGGCCTGGACCATCTACTCCCAGCCATCCTGCATTCATCATGGACAAATACCATTCCATGGCTGGGAGAGAAAGCATTCCTCAGATCTGATGTTTGTTGTTTTGTTTTTCTTTTTCTTGTCCCAGAGGAAAAGTGTTGATTTATACTCCTTCCACAGCTGTCACGGTTTGTGACTTACTTGGTGTCTGGTGGCTGTCACCTCTTGAATGGCACATGTCGCCGGCACTGCCCTCCTGTCACTTCTTCAAATCTGGGGGCATTCACACCCTACTCTGATCAGTTCACCAATCATCTGTACATAATTAAACTATTTTCTGATGGCTGGTGCAGTCTCTGGCTTGGAAAGCACTTCTTACCTAGTACCTGGTAACCTGTTTGTCCTCAGTTTTTCACCTAGGATATATTATAGGATCTTGAGGTCGACTGAGAATTGCCTGCAAAGACCAGCATTGATACTGTCTTCTCCAAACACTTTGCTAAAGGAAAGTTCTAGAAAGAGATCGAATGGGAGTCTAGTCTACAGCATTGGACCTTTCCCAGGGCCTGGAGTCTAACACCACCTTCCAAAATGCTGCTGTTCTTCATCTCAGCTTATAACTAGAGTTCTTGGAGGGGTCTTAGTGTACTTCCACATTCCGAGGGCTGTTGGGTCATGCTACTCTCGGACACTTGCTTTATTGGCTGGATCTCACTCATTTTCTAAGGACTAGTGAAACCTCAAGCCAGTGGTCCAGGCCTAAAAGTCACTGACAGAAGAAATGCCTTCGTCACTGTGTAGACAAGACACAGCCATGGGGCAGGTGGCTTGATATTGCCCCTTGGACTAACCGTCCATGGTCAGAGTGCAGTTTAGAGTAAGGAACACTGCTTCAAAACAGTCCAATAGGCATGCAGACAACCATAACTGCAGTGGTATTTATTGGGGACAAAATAAAAGGATGCAACAAGACCCCCAGTCCCCATGATTTGAATCTGAAGCACCTAAATATGTATTGATTAAGACAACACTGACCAGACCGGGACTGGACGTTCCAGGTTTACCTTAAGTTAATGTCAAAATTCTGGGTCTACTTGTAAAGCACTCTGATGATCTGTTCTGTTTGTAATTTGTTGGGGAACTGCAGGGAAAGCCAACCAGGTTCACTTGGGAAGTCATGACACAGACACCTCACCATGACTGCAGTTGTGTCCATTTGGATCCATACAGATGCAGAACTCAGAGCCCCTTCTGCCTTCAAGATTGAGATTTCTCTGCCCCATTGGATTGTTCTGGATCTGAGCAGGATTAGAGCAAGAACTTTGCATTATTATTCAGGGAATTTAAATGTAATTTCTTCAACTGCCCCCATCATAGACTTTATCATAGGGCTTCTGGGCTATGGATGGTGACTTCAGCCAGGTGTGACTAATTCATCTTCCCCTGGAAGTCTGTAAGTAGCATCTCTTCACAGGTGCCCAAGGAATTATGTTGGCTGAACACTTGCCACGTCCCTGTGTGGCCTCTTTATCTAGATGTAAGTCATTAATTCAGTATGATGCCAGCTGGAGCCTGGATAAATATGCAAGTCCTGTAGTGCATGGTAGCCCTTTGGTTATAATGTGTATGTAAGATAACTTGTCTGTGAGAGTCCCAGTGACATTCCATGGGTACAAGTTTGGCTGAAGCTTCAGATCCACTAGCTGCTGAACAATACCCGGTGCTCTTAACTTGCAGAAATGAGGGTTCACATTTGACTGGGCTAACAAAGCAAGAGCAGATAAGAGGTGGTAAGGTGACTGCTAGTTAATACAGACAATGGGGTCTAACCCCACATCCATCCAGATGGAAGCCTAAGAAGGGGCCATTCCCTGCCAGTCTAGTGACCAGTTAAAGTGCTTGTCTGTTGTAGGGGTTATCCTTTGTTCCCACGGGCTGCTCCATTTCAGGTCTCTCATGTCACCTCGGTCACTGTGGGTCCACTGCAGAGGAATATGTTTTTCTTTTAGTTGGGATTACTGTTTACAGAACCCTGGAAGCAAGTATGATGTCCTAGTAGAATAGTGTTGGAAATCCTAGGCACCACTACCAGAGTGGATACCAAATGGTCCCAGCTCCAGCACCGTGAAGGTAGAAGTTTGCCACTACTGCCCAGAACACGATGATGGCCCTGGTTCCATGACCACCTCTGGTGCTCAGAGCCCCAGTTCAGCAGACCTAGCCCTCCCTCCTTGCCACTTAGCCTAGCCCAGTGCAGGCCCAGAATCTGAGTTGGGGTGGGTGCCCCATATGTGATGCTTGACACCAAGCACCCTCCCCTTTAATCTGGCCCTGAAATATGCAAGCTTCATTCTTTCGTTCCCTTGTTTAATGACTCCTATTTCCTTTGTGTTGCTGCTATTTTTAGTGTTCTGCTCTTTTAAAAAATAATGAGCAGCCTGAATAGGTGCCGAGATGTTTCACTTCAAAGCTGCTCAGGATTCCCAGTTCAGGACCTGGTGGGGCTCAGGCAGGTGCTATAAAGCTCCTTGATCATGTTGGGGAATATTCAGTGGGCTCAGTGGGATCCATTAGGTAGCAAACAGCCTCCAGTGATAGGGAAAAGGTAGACTCTGGGAGTCCTTGGAACTATAAAGAAGTTCCCAACCTCACTGGTTCCCCACTGACATTGGTTGTGCTAGGCCTTATGTCCATCTGCATTTCTGTTCCACCCCTGCTGGAGTATCCGAGCTCCCATTCTGCCAACCCTACAATGTAGAGTGCTCCCAAACCTTTTTTTTTTTTTTTTTTTTTTTTTTTTTTTTTGTTTTTCGAGACATTTTCTCTGTGGTTTAGGAGCCTGTCCTGGAACTAGCTCTTGTAGACCAGGCTGGTCTCGAACTCACAGAGATCCGCCTGCCTCTGCCTCCCAAGTGCTCGGATTAAAGGCGTGCGCCACCACCGCCCGGCCTCCCAAACCTTTCTTACCCCAGGCCTGAATGTTGAACCTCAAATTCTTTCAACAGTTCACTGGTTTTAACACTTCCCTCCCTGGGGTTGGGGAAAATCCAAGTCCTCACTGTACTTGGCCACACCCTTGGAAGCCCTCATTTGGGGCATGAACCATGGTTGTAACTAAGGGGCAGCAGGTCACCTGCCCAGCCTCCCAGAGGTTATAGAGATTATTAATTCATTGCAGAATGAGGAAAGGAACAGAAAAGACGCTGACTGCAAGACAGGGAAGTTTCACCCAAGGAGACTGGCACCCAAAAGGAATTGGGGCTCATAAATGGGTTTTCGGAAACACCCACATGTGGAGGAGAAAAATATACAGATAACAAATCACAGCCCAGACACTTAATGTTCTTGAAATACTCCTGCATGGTGTGATTACCTACCTGATTGCCAGCCAAGAACTATCTTTGCTTTCTAGGTTGACAGATCTGTCTAGCAAGGCCCTAGCTGTTGTAAGAGGAGCGCAGGCCGCTTTCTGCCACCTGGCTAGCTTAACCCCGAAATAATTACACGGAAACTATATTCATTTAAACACTGCCTGGCCTGTTAGCTCTAGCCTCTTACTGGATAACTCTCACATCTTGATTCAACCCATTTCTGATAATCTGTATGTCACCACGAGGCCGTGGCTTACCGGGAAAGATTCAGCATGTCTGACATGTTAGCTTCATGGCTGCGGCTCTCTGCCTCTGCCTCCTTTCTCCCAGCATTCTCTTCTGTCAACTCTGCCTATCTAAGCTGCTGTCTTATCAAAAGGCCAAGACAGTCTCTTTATTTAACCAATGAAAGCAACACATAGAAGACCCTCTTACACCGCCTAGCACATGGCTGGGTAAACCAGTGCTTTCTAGGTTGACAGATCTGTCTAGCAAGGCCTTAACACATGGCTGGATAGAACCAGCGCTTTCACACTAGTCTGTAAACACTCATAATCCCCCATATTTTGAGGGAACTACTTTTAGGGGATCTAAGGGTGCAAGTATGGGCCTGCTTTTATGGCCCTGGCCTCCAGGTAGGAAGGATGAACAGAAAACCCACCTAAAAAGTAGATAGATAGCTATATCTGGTGGGAAGGTCTCCAAAAGTGGCCTGGAGAACAGTCAGCAAAAGCCCTGAGGTGGGTAGAGTGTATCCAGACTAGCTGATAATTTGGGGACTAAAAGACAATGCGAGTTGGCCCCCACAGAGACCCAGAAACCCTTTATATGGTACTCACAACCTCCCTTCACCAATGACAGCCTGATGGAGCTCTTGATTCTAGTACCAGCACTGGAGCTGGGCAAGTTCAGGCAGATTGGCTAATAGATAAGGGTAGGGCCTTGGGCCACGAATGCTCTGGTTGGTAGACTGCCACCTCCTTCAACAAACAGCACTTAGGGGTCAGAGCCCAAAGGGATCCCAGTAAGTGACAAAAGGATGAGTCTGATGCTCTGTAAACTCTTGCTATGCCCAACCTTCACAGCATCCTTGCTGGGATTCAAGGAATCCACCTCCCTGAGTATGAGCCACTGCAGGGCTGTGCCCAGTCCACAAGAAAGATCACTAAGGTCTTGCCAAGTGTAGGAGAAGCAAGTGAGATGTTCTTATATTAACCAAAAGGGAACTCGGGCTCACATAGGGCAGTTGGCTGAGGCTCCCACTTTGATCCTCAGGCCTTTGACTAAGACTAAAAGGTTCAACCCAGAACCCCAGACCCAACCCTACCTTCAGCCAAGGTTGTGTAGATGTGATAATTAATGGTTTCTAGGTAGGCTTGCTACTCATGCCTATCAGAGCAGAGGGATAGGCTACTTGAGCCCATCTGATAGTGTCAGTCCTGCTGAGGGAGGGCCAGAGAATTCCCTGCTGGGCTTAACATATGCACGTTTCTCTATTCACTTAAAATTGCCTGAGCCCCTCATTGGAATTCTGACCTTGATCCTACATACAAAGCCCTACAGAGACCATGTGTGGAATGAAAGAAACCATGTACTAAGAGCAACAATGTGGAGGTAGTCTAGGGCCCTAGTCCTCGATCCAAGAATACTGAGCCTTACTCTGTACAACACACAGACTAAAAAAGTGACTAGACAATAAGCTGAGTCCTTGGGAAGAACATGGAAAAGTCATTGCCCCTAGGCTAGAGAATTCAGGCCTTCTCATCACCTAAGGTTGAATGGCAATCTGTCTTAGTTAAGGTTTTTATTGTTTAAAAGAGGCAACATGACCATGGCAACTCTTATAAAGAATACATTTAATTGGGTGGCTCACTTAGTTTCAGAGGTTCAGTCCATTATCATCACAATGGGAAGTGTGGCAGCATGCAGGCAAACATGCTGGAGAGTCCTACATCTTTTAGGCAACAGGATGTTGACTGAC